TCATGCGCTGCTCCGCGTCGAAGTTAATTGCAAAACTAAGCAATAGCTCGCCGTCAAGATGTGAATGACGCGTGAAGCATATTTTCAGGCGTTACGAATTTTCGTATGCCAATGAGCATGCAAGCCATACAATAGGCGAGTATATGTATGGAGTAAAAATGTGTTTCTCGGTTATGAACATTTAACTTGTGGAGATTTCAGAATAATATTATTTATCTTTGCTTAATTTGCGCTTCTTCCTATAAATTATCGCCTTACAAAGCGATTTTTATCGCGCTAAATAATGTAGGGTGACCCACTAGAATTCTTTATAGCTCGCTCTTTATACCTATGTGTTTTGAGAAAAGTTGAAATTGATAGCGCCAGATTTGTAGTTTAGCCATACCACAACAAAAGCAAGTATTTTGAAATAAGTAAGCGCCAAAATAATTCCACAAAGCTTAAGCAGCTTAATTCTCAATCTATTATATTGCCATTATGTGTCTTGTGCGAAGCGCTGCTCGCTTATAAAGTGAACGGCTTAAGTATCGTTATGGCCGCCGCTCCATTTTGAATACAAATTATGCGCACGCACACTGACACGCGCACTCATGCATACGCAAAATAGTTGGAAGCGTTGAGGAATTCTCCAAATTTGTAATATCAACAGTCGTTTCATGTCAAGTAAATATACGCAGCAACAAACGAACACCAGTAAGCACACACACACACATCGCCACAAAATGAGCATACTTTCGTGAAGTATGCGTGTATGCGTTGCTTAGTGGCATATTTTAAGGCGCGAAATAAGAATATTCGCACCAGCCGCCGTTTACCATACCATCGGCTTGCGCAAGCACCGAGTCAGCGCTGAGGCTTGAGGAATAGTCTTGGGGGAAATTGAAAAAAGAAATATAAATTTAAAATTATTGTTTTTGCTTTTTTCGTTTTTGCGGTTTTGGATTTTGTTTGTAACGAGTTGTACAAAAACTTCCGCACGCAGCAGCTGCGCAGGCGCATACCAAATGAAAGCGCTGAAGTTTGCTTGCGGCAACTACGCCAACAACACACGAAAGCGCTGAAGCGACTCTTGATATGCAAATAATTTCGCCGCTAAAGTGCTGGCAGCAGGCCCCAAGTAGGCGTGTTGTAAACAGGCATGCCATGATATGCTGCAGTAGGGAAACGCCAAATTGCTCTTGCATAATTACAACACTCGAGCGTGCGAAAGTTCTGCGAGCGCACAAATTTGTTATATTAAATTTCAACTAAATTCTGTTGGCGTTACGGCGGTGGCGGTGTCAGAAACGAGATTTGCATAATTTTTGCGCTCGACAATTATCGCGCATAAACTTGCGTTTCAGCAAAAGTGCGCTCTCTAACACTTCGACTGCAACGGTGCGTTGAGGAACGGATTCTCGAGCGATTGCAATAATCAGCGTGTTTGTTGGCGGTTTTTGCTTCACGCCACCATGAGGTGAAAATGGCTGCAAACATTTCTAGATTATGGCATGCTGCTGCTGCAGAGGCAGCACTTCATCACTTAAGTAAATTGATTTTCCATTTGCCAGTGCGATTTTAATTTTCATTAATTCAAATTGATCGATGGACCGGAGATTCTATTATTTGTACTTTCAAATCGATGGCAAAAAGCAAAAGAAGGACACAACGCCATACAGTAAGAATAGACAGCAGCGCTGCAAACGTGGCAGAGCAGCTTGGCTGAACTGAATAGTCCATTCAAACTTTCGGCAGAATACATATCCAGCTCGCCTCTGTTTGTAGACTTATTCGAACTGCTACGAACATACATTCGGTCGTGCTCATTTCAAAAATGATGTGAAAGTGCTTAAATATTTACTTGCTTGCGCTTTTGCGGCAGCAGCTTTGATTGTGTGTGCTTTGGAAACATGGAACAAATCTATTTTACACAAATCTTGTGGTCAGAAATACTGCGTTCTGCGAAAGGCATGGACATAGCACAGATATTTATCCAAAAGAAAATTCCAGAAAAACAAGTAAGGCAGGGCTAAGTTCGATGTAAACGAACACTTATACTCTCACAACTTGTAAAAATCAAAAATTGTTGCCAATCAATTCAAATACATAATTCGAAGAAACCGATTGTTTTACAATCAAACTTAGTAACTTGCTATTTAATATTGAAGATCACAGATTCACTTAGTTTTGTTACTATATTTTGCATGTTAAAGCTAAATTAAATATATGGGTTATACTCGTATGAGGAAAACATCAACCAAAGGATGGGGAATCCCAATATCATTGTCATACATTTTCAGCATTAATTATATCCAATATTATACTTTCGCTTAATTTTGCTAAGATATCTTACATATTGAACGATATATACGGTATAAAGACAACCCGGGGTTTGCAATTCTTATATACTTCTTATCAGATTTATTATATATGGGGCCTTGTATATTTGATTCAATTGTATACAGATTTTGGTATTACGCCAGATCATTACCAGAAATAGAAGCTATCTGAATTTCTTTATGACACCTCACGGATTGACAGCTATAATATGTATTAAATCAAGCAAATGTTTGAAAATCTGTATATTAAGTATAGGGCATCTAGGGGAAGTATTGCATTGATTTCTTCAGTTTTAGGCAAGAGGATACACTTTTATTAGAAAGAGAGTATAAACTTTATTAAGATTTCTTACATATTGACCGATAGATGCGGTAAAAAAATTGTTCGGAAATTTGAAAATATTTATATAAGGTTTGTGGAGGCTAAGAGAAGTACTGACTCGACTTTACCCATTTTTGGTTCAAGCGCATGCTGTCATCACAAAAATATTTGCTCTGAATTTCAATACTAGAACTCATAGGGCCCTTGGCTTTGGGTCCTTGAAAAGTTGTAGTCTGATTTCGACAATTTTCAGGCGTAGGATGAAATAGCTTGAGGGCACTATTTGTGCAGAGTTTTACTCTGATTAGTGAATTTTTACAGTGTATAATAGGAATGATACCGACAAACGCTTTTATCCAGATCATTTATACATACAAAGCTCCATATCTATATCGATTACTTTTAGGTGATCCAAACAAACCGTTACGTGAATGAAACTAATATACTCTGTTGCAACATGTAGCGAGAGTATAATATATTGTCTATTCGGCTACGCGTATGTTCTTATAATAATGTATTTCGAGCTCAATACAAGCCTAGCTCAATTGTAAGGCAATCAAATACTAGTTTGCTATAAATCTGCTGGGTATGAACGTGTCACATACTTTTAGGCGCTTCGTATATTCTGACGCTGCGAGTACATCGGCGACTAAATAAGCGCCAAAAATTGAAAAATTGCGATATTGCAGTGGGGTTGGCGGCAGTCCTTCGTTCAATATGTCGCAACGCATGGCGTTTAAAGCCTTTTGAGATGATTGAGGCAAAACTTTAAAATTTAATCAATTTCGTACATATTTGTACATATGGCTATATTACATACATTTATGCCCAAAATTTCTTTATGTTTTTATTGTGATTTATAATTTCTTACGAATATACCCAGATGAAATGCAAATAGCTGAATCGAATATGTAGAATAAATTATAAAGCTCGAACAATATTTTGAAGTTTACCTGGAAGCACTGAAAAATTTCCATTATCAAGAACTGAAACTGTCAAATGACCAGAGATGACAGCAGCCTCTGACTAAGTCGCATGATGAATTTTTGACCCAAATTTTTAAAAAGGATGATTTTTATTGTAAAAAATTCCAACGTGCACAATAGCCCCGCAAATATAATATTATTATGTATAATCCTCCTCTTTATTAACCGAAATCAATCAGATAAGAAAAGTCGACTTTCTGGACAAATAAATAAATTATTTTGATTAAAGTGTTGCGTCTAGTGAAGTGAATATGAATACCATCCACTCAAAGAAAAAGAGGTGCTTATGTATCTATGTCGTTTAATAAAAATAAAAAAATATTTTTTTTTTCACCTTTATGTCACATGACAGTTACTCCGCCAATTCGACGTCGACATTTCGTATTATATAATTGAATTTCTTGATTGCCAAATCGACATCCGCATCGCTGATCTGATGATACAACACAATTCGAGCGAATTGCCAATCGCGTGCGCTCACTTTCAACTTAATACCGTGCTCCTTGTGCGATGCATACACGCCGGCGGCAAGTTCCTCGGACGTCACTTCGCTACAGCGCTCGCTGAACGCAGTAGCACCGAATTTCGGCAGATGAATAAGCAAAATGTTCGTTTGTACGGTCGCCAAATCGACGGAGACATTGGGACTTTTGGCATTGTGAATGGCTGAAAGAGAGGAGAAGGGCATGCAGGCGAAATTAATCGAGGCGTAATTAAAGGAAATTAATTGTTTCAACGCAAATTGAGGTGGCAAATGGCGATAGAAGAATAATAGCAGTCGAAAGGCAATTGTCTAGACGCAAGTAAGAGCCACCTAGTGCTAAGTCACCTAATTCGAGCGCATTTATCAGCAATCATTTGTCGCCTCATCAACCGCCACTTGACGCATCTTGCCACATTGATGTATTGTTATTAGGCTGCAATAAAAATTACCTTCTGCTATGCGTCGAGTCTTCTGATGATCCTCTCGCAGACGCGGCACAATAGTATCCAAGGCCACAATACCGGCTGCCGCCAGAATACCAGCTTGACGCATGCCACCTCCAAGAGCCTTGCGTAGACGGCGAGCTCTGCGGGATGAATGAAATGAATACGCAAAGAAAAAGTTAGTGGTAAAAGAAAAACTTCACAAGTGCTAAGATTAAAAATGCGATTGAAAAGAAAAACGTGCAGAGAGTGTGGCAATTAGTCTGTGACATTAATCTCACGGCGAAGCACTCGGCGCGAACGCGAATACTCAAACTCTAATTCCTTGAAATAAATGTTTGAGCGCATTGCCTGTGTACCTTTGTTATTGCCCACCAATCGCCTTTCGGCTAGCAATAATAATCGCCTTAGCTGCAACACTTGCCACAAAGTCGCAACACACTCACACACGCCTCTTATTTGATTATCGCCTAACGTCTAATATGCTTTACTCACTGCCTAATGAAAGCCTCGGATCCCACCAGCACTGAGCCCACCGGTGCCGATAGCCCCTTGCTCAAACAGAAATTAACCGAATCGAAATCGCGCGCAATTCGCGCCACAGGCACCTGCAGCGCTGCGGCCGCATTAAAGACGCGCGCACCATCCATGTGCAGTGCCACACGCTTGCCGTAGGGTTGCAGCTGTTTGTCGCCATTAACTAGAGCTGCCAGCTTATCGAGCCACTCCAGCGGTATTACCTTGCCACCGCATATGTTGTGTGTGTTCTCCACTATTATGAGCGACGTAATTGGCTCGTGATCGTCCTCCAAGCGCACCTTACGACGCAGTGCTTCGAGGCAGAATGTGCCGTCCGCTTTGTTGGGTATTGTGGCTAATTGTATGCCAGCGATGTGAGCAGCGCCACCTAAAAGTAAAGGAGTCCAAATATTAAGCCAATATATGTGTGTATATGTGTCCGTGGGGATGTGCTCTGCGAGCAAAGCGATATGTGGACTAAGCATGAATAATTGCACAGAAGAACTAAATATTAAAAGAGCACATTCCTTACAGTCAAAATCAGAAGACATTTAGGAATTTTGCAAAAGTTAAGTGCTTTTCCCGCAAAAATGGCGGATGTTAGTAGTCCTGTAGACTCTCATTCGATATGTGAAACCAATGTTTGGAACGATTTGAAACCCATGACTGATTATGCGAGAAATAAAGCTCTGATGGATCTATAAACAAAAAGTTTGCTTGATTTAGACCTGTAATAAAAATTTGAAATTATTGGAGCCCGAGAAAGTTGTGAGTTTTTTATAATTGCTAGCTTCGCGAATGGCAAATAGTTCCGACTGGGACTTTGAATATAACAAAAAAAAGCTGGTTGAAAAAAGAGTATGGAGTTCAAGAGATGAAATAATTGATTCCCCACTGTCACTTAATAAATATGTACCTTTCCATACATATTTCTCTCAACAATAGAGACCAAAATAGGCGTGCTTATGATTTTCTTGCTTTAAACTGCCGCACAAGCTTTGCCTATTGAGCATTTTCAATAAGAGTCTCATATAATGTAGAGAAAAAGTTAAATGAATTTATAATATAATTTACTGCAAGAAAAAGCAGTTCATTAACTTAAATGACCAAATAAATATTAACAATGCGTTGAATGCAATAATCAACAGCTCACTGTGAACACACGTGAAAACCAGCGCCCCAAATCACAGGGGTGTGGTCAAGTATAATTCGCAAACCATTAACAGCTTTATATGCTGAAATTATTTTGTTTGGTTTCGCTCTAAAGTACAAAGTACTTTATTTTTTTGCGCAACAATTGCAGCGGCACTTTATCACATTCATTAGCAATGTCGACATTCAAATCTGCCGGGATTGAGGAGGAAAAGTATATGCGTCGGAGGGTCGTCAACGGCGGTAAATCAAAAAAGTTTTTGTTTTTCCAAATTTTTTCCTTCAAATCGCGCTGCAATGGTCAGTCATGAGTGCTTATGCAATTTTTTGTTATTTTTGTAAAGTAGCGTACTCATGTGTGTATTTGGTGGGTAAAGGTAAAAGGTGAGATTTCATATCTATAACCCGCAAAGTTATTAAAAGCAAACAGGAACAGGACTATAAGCGAAGTTTTAAATTAATATTGATTCGAAATATAAAACTTGCTATGCCAACTAAGTTACGAACTATTTCCAAAACAATTGATTTGAAATGTATGCTCTAAGAAAAATAGTTGGTGTGTGAATTTAAATTAAAACCAAACTATTATGCTCTGTAGCAACATGTTGCAAGACTATAACCAGAGATTAAATTTAATGTCGCTGGCATGTCTAGTGCTTGATTTATCGCGCTTTTAGTAGTTTTTAGCAGTACCGTTATTTGATCCATTTTCACACATGCATATTAAACCTATTAGGGGCGGGACCACGCTCACTTTTTAAAAAAATTTTAACTGCAGATGTCCCTCCCTAATGTGATCCTGTATACCAAACAACAGTCTTGTATCTGATTGTGGAGCTTAGTTATGGCAATTTATTCGTTTTTGATTAATGGCGTTTTGTAGACGTGGCAGTTCAGTTCGATTACGCCTATCAGACGGTTAGTCTTACGGTACCAAAAAATATGTGTACCAAATTTCATAAATATATCTCAATTTTTACTCAAGTTACAGCTTGCACAGACGGACGGACACTCACCCGGATTTCAACTCGTCTCTTTATCCTGATCATTTATATATGTATATAAAACTTTATATCTAACTCGATAAGTTTTAGGTGATACAAACAGTCGTTAGGTGAACAAAACCATTATACGCTGTAGCAACATGTTGCGAGAGTATAAAAAAAAATTTTGTCTTAAAATATAGACCGTAAATATGTATTAAAAGAATATAGCAATGTGGAGCAGTGTCTGAGAAGTTATTATTGAATTTGTAAAAATTTTTAGAAAAAGTTGATACGAAATGAATTCCTCATGTATAAATATTTACTTAATCCTCATACCTTTGATGATTTATGAGTTACAAACATGAAACGTACATTTTGCATGATTACATAAATATACATACATTAATGCAAGTGTGTGTGGGCACTTTTACATTTTTTGTAGCGCGGTAAATGTGAATTTTTCGCTTCAGCTTTCTACGTATTTACACAAAGTCTCTCCTTTTTTGTCATTAACTGTTTACTGTTATTATTACTTTTCGCAGTTTTTTGTGTTGCAAATTGCATTATTGTGCGCATTTTAATGACTGCAAAAAAAGCTGAAATATCAACAAAAACAACGAGAATTGTAACAATTAGATGTGCAACTCAAACAGGCAACTGCAAGCACACAGGCACATGTGTGTGTGTGCCCATATGTGCGCTGTCTTCGGTAGATGCTATCGAAAGCAGGAACATGGCGCGGCATTTATACTCGCACATCCGGTGTATGCTCGGCGCGCTGATGCCATGCAGCACCGGCAAACACAAACATTCGCTGAACACTATCGCATTCGCGACCACCGCACCACTTTTAACCCGATATCGCTGGTTATCCTTGCGCTGTTCTATCAGCGGGATGCCTAGGGACGCAGTCGAACATTTTCCCAATTTTTGGCATTTCTACGTTTCCTTGTTTCCTCGTTTACTTTTAAAGTTTTTATACATTGTAGTCTTCGTTTTGGCTTTTTTTAATTTCCCTTATAATTTTAACTATCGTACTTTTAGGAAATGAAACTTACCTTGCTCATAGAGGTAGACATGAGATAAATCACCCACAATTGCTTCCGTGCCACGCCGATGACAGTGCACCATACCTGTAAAGTATAAAAATGGCTAGATAAGAATGTGATATATGTATGTACCAAATGTGTGTGTATGTATGTGTTAGCATATAACGGAATGCTTGAAGGGAGCATAAATTTGTTGATTTTTAGCCGAACTAAGTATTTTAGTGGAAAGCTTGCACTGACACACAATTTCATATGCGCACGCTTTTCTATGAATGCTCGCATCCTGCAGGACACTTTGTGGCTTTGCGAAACCATACCAATGGTCCAATAGAACTTTGAACAAAAATTTCATTTACATCTAGTGTCATGGGATTGGCGATGGTTGAATGACAGATTTTTGTAAAATTGAATGGTGCGGTAGGGGATCATTGGACCTAAATGCTCACCCTAAAAATAGAAACCAAAGTTCTAACAAAGGTGTAAGTATCTAGTGCACCATATGTAGATAATCGTAGCTATGTAAAGCAGTCTGTGACAGTGATCAGGGCACTTAAGCGACAGCCATGGTAAATGAGGCTTCGATTATCTCTAAAAAAAGTAAATATTCTTCACCTAATAGGGTCTGTATCCATTCTTAACTTAACGCCTCTTATTTCGAAAAATCAATGGAAATATTGCTTTTGACTAGTGGCGGTTCAAAAATCACTAGAAGCTCCTCAATATGGCACTAGTTATCTTCACCAATGGGTGTGTGGTGAGACGCGTGCAACAGTATGCACTTAGTGGCAGGAACGCAAACGCAGTGTAAATGTGCAGAAACCATGAAAGTGAATTACATTCCTTGACACCAGCACCAGCAACTACAGTTGCAGCAACAACTATGCAGCGATTCCAATAGAAGTCGTGCTGACTACCTTCTGTTAAGGGAATTTTATATGAAATTCATAAAGATATATCACCTTACAGCAAGGTGTTAAAATTCCATGCTTGAAATATTTATAAAGTATGCGGTCTTAAGTGCTTATGGAATTAGAACGCTATGGCAATTTTTGGAAAATAATTTCCTGGGTCACTCCTATTCTTCAGTATACGGTCATACTAACTGAAGTCAGAATTTTTAATGGCGTTAACGCGCATTATGGCCATTTTTAATGCCCAACATAAACAGAGTTGACACCATAAATGTGCCTATAAATCAAGGGCTAGCAATAAAGTTAGCTTACGGTAAAGATAAAAAGAAATTTTCAATAAAGAATAATGTAGCATGTAGTCTTTATTTTGCGAAATTCTAGTATATAGATTGGGCCAAAGTTTTTTGCATTGAATCGATAGTTGCATCGAGCAGCCATGTTCAGGTTATATTCTGTGATACACAAGCAATATTTATCAGTGAGCCCGCCAAAGACCAGCAGTTTAAACTGAAGTCCATCAATGACGGCCTACTTCCAGTATGCTATACATTCAAAGATATCACACTATATTGGTAGATTAACATTGGAGATTACAGCTATATTTTTGTAGTTCATTATTTATTAAAACTTTGAATGCCCATTGCTTGTTAAAAAGATTATGTGAAAGTTACCCTGAAAACTTGGTTTCGTGAACGCTAAAGAAGCAGAGTAATTTAAAATAATGGAACCCCAAGGAAATGATTACAGATATTCCCCCTCGCAAAGTTGCAGCAGGCTTTTCGCTCAGATTAAGAAAGTTGAGGTTGTTGGAGCAGGAAGCAATTTGGTCATCAAATCAAAAATGATATTAATCTCTCTGTCCGGAAAACTCGTCTTCTGTTATCTGTTCTCCTGGCATTAGAGACTTTAGTATAGGTATGATATGATAAGCAAATCGATGATTACTGGGACTTAAATGGAAATACTATACGTACTTACCCACAGACTTGTTAAAGACATATATGAAAAAGGACCTCCTGTACAATACAATAGTGTAGGGATTCAAGGGAAATGTGGCACAGCAATTAAATTGCTTTGGGATTTTAAGGCTCTTTTATACTAATAAATTATTCGAGTATCGGACCATGATAGCAGAGACTAATGTGTATATCTTAAGCTTCATTTGGGAACCAGAAGAACCTATCAGTGTCAGTGTATTTGAGCTTAAATTTTTCCAGCTTTTCTTTGATCAATAATTTAAATATTTTTTCTCCTAAATACATAACTATCTCATTAAATGCTTAGTAATTTCGTTATGCATTCTTCCAAATTTATGCACATTTCATTTGAGTCATATTATATGTATATCACCTGATGTGTGTTTGATTACCACAGTTTGTATACTTACAAGCCAATAAATTGCCCATGGTGCCACTGGGCACGAACAGACCTGCTTCCTTTTCAAACAACTTAGCCGCTTTCTGTTCCAATGCCTTTATCGTCGGATCCTCTCCATAAACGTCATCGCCGACGACAGCAACAAACATGGCTTGGCGCATTTCCGCTGTCGGTAGACTTACCGTATCCGAACGAAGATCGATTACGTAATGCGACATATTTTTATACTTCACTTGGTCGAAGTCGAAATGGAATGTTTCCGCAATTTTATTTATACACTGCCTCGAGAATAAACAAATCGCATTCTTAGAAGATTTGATATTATATAGAAATAATGTTTTGATTTGTAAGTCACTTTATTTATTTGTAACTTCGATTTGTCGGAAAAATTCAATGGGATGTTGAGAGCATAGAAGTGAACACAGTTGGAAAAATTCAGTTATTTTTTTAAATACAAGATATAAATCTAATACTATAACCCAAAAATGTAGGTTCTTGACATGTAGTTTTTATAATATTAAGTTAATAACGCTCCGAAGATATACCAAAAATGATCGTTAAAAACCCAAAATGAAATACTTGTAGGTCAAACAAATGATATTTCAATATGGACTCAATTTTAGTCACAAATTATTCTTCTAAGATCTTCTTGGTGCACAATTAATTTCACTGAACTACATATAACAAGTCAAAGAAATTTAGATTTCTGAGAGGACTCATTTAAACAGCAGATAAGGTAGCCATATATGTATTAAGTCTGCTATGTTAAGTAGCTGCTAACTATGTGTATTTCAGTTCAGTCGTCGAGTTTATCGGCTTATTTTGTAAGCAGTCAAAATATTTTTATTTTTATAAAAAGGTATTTTTAATCGATTAGGTTGCAGTTGAAACTGGATTCAGAACAAGTTTAAGACGAATATAATTTTAAAAGCACTTTAATTTTATGCTTTTGTATTAAGAACATCACTCTGAACTTGTATTCTCCTTCGAAACAAATTTTTCGATTGCTGCAAATTTTTAGTAAGGAACTTCTGTTGTGTTTCTTCAAGTCAGAGATTGTTAATAAAATTTAATATATTTTTGAGTACTAATGTGAGTTTTAATATTAGGGAACGTCGAAAATCTTATTATTGAAAATTTCACTTTTTTCAATAAAAATATAAAATTGAATGAACGCTTACTATTCGAATAGTCGACAACGTACAGTTAATCGGATACGACTATCCGGATAGTGCAAATCAAATATTATTTTTCGAATATTACTCCATCCAGTTAATCCGATTACTCGATTAGTTCTAAAATACACACAAACAATTTTTTCATATATCAATGCCCATGCGTATTTAGATATGCGTCTACAATTTCTATGATATTACAATAAGTTTATAATTTTTATTTACAAATAATATTTTTAATTAAAAATGAGGATTACTGGTAATAACACCAGAATTTATATAATTAAATAAACCTTTAATAGACAAAGGCTTCAACACATTAATGTGAGTTGCGCGAACAATATCTCAATAGGCAAAGGATTACAACAAAATTGTGGCCTAACAGTGATACTTTTGAGTTGGCTTAGGTCGTAAGCGTGAAGGAGTTAAGCTCAATGCGAATGCAAGTATTTACGTTCGAATGCTGAAAGTCATGAATCATGAATCCTAAGTTTTTTCCCTCTTTTATTTTATTAATTGGCAGATTTCAATCCAAATACTTTAAAATCATATTTTATTTGCTGAGATAATTAAATTCGTTTAGCATAATATGTTTCCTTTATGCGTATGTACACAAATATGACAAATACACATACATATTCATAAATACACGTACGCTAATGTTTACTTCTCCTTGTCCCGCCCAAACTTTTTAACAAAGCTCATCACTATTGCTTTACTGCCAGAACGAAACAATTTGAATAATCACAGGTAAGGAGGGGTAAGGTCTCTGTCACATAAATATTTTAAAATTTTGTTCATTAATGGTTATATTGTATTTTAAAGAGATGTATCAATTTGTGTTTATTTATATTATTACGTATTATATTATTATATTACTCAAATAAGCACTAATGTATTCTTTAACGTTATCTGTCCAAGTCACACATTTGCCGCTGCGAGTACACAATCATATGTATGTTTACATATATAGACGTGAAAACGCATGGTGGTTTAAGTAGAATGAAAAATTTATGTAATTAACAAGATTGAGTGGATTTTAATAGAAATCCAGTTATCACATATATATTGTAATTTATAACTTGTTGATTTGATTTTATTTATATTTAATCATATTTATGAATATCATATATTTCATTTTATTAACACATGACACTTTCACAAATAATATTTACTTACAAATCAACTTTACTATGGCTCGAATCGGACCGGCGAATTTCGTTCGGCTTTTCACAGCGCTCTGCTTCGCAATTGACAACGCGACTTGGGCCAGAGATAAGGAGATGCCCAACTCGTCTCTCACTGGAAATGAGAGCGCAATTGCTAAACGTCAGACCTACTGAACTTTGACAGTTGCTTGAGTTCAGTAGGTTTTGACGTTTATCAATTGCGCTCTCATTTCCAGTGAGAGACGAGTTGGGCATCTCCTTATCTCTGAAATGATCCATTGATTACTGCGCTCGTTTATATGAAGAAAATTTTTATTATAAAATCCACAAACTGTAATCGTCACAGCACTCGACATGTGGTCCAATTGGAAGGCAACACAACATATGGTATATGGCACTAGTGCCTCAACAACACAACAGAGAACATAGTACTACCAGAGAACGTAAATGAATAGAGAAGGAGCAAATGTGTACTAATTTGTAATTCCTTTACGTTCTCTGGTACTACTAGAGAACATAGTACTACTTTATTCTTATACAGAGACAATGTGGAAGAGAGAGTGTGGGAGATGCAGTGAGAGAAAGATAGGTGATAATTTTGATTTGAGTATTTGCAAGCTATATAAATAAATCAATTACTTTGCATACATGAAGTGTATCATATGAAGTGCTCGCCATTCTGCTTTTGAGTATGTATTTCACTTGAGGGATCGAAGCGAAGAGGAACCGATCAAAACTTGAAATTGTCGCTCATACAGTATATAACAATTTTAATTTCATGATATTATATATGTTTATAATTTCAATAATGCATACTTAATTCTTTCAGCTCCTTGCAACTTTGCAACTAATTCAATTAATACAATTTTTTCCGATTTACACTTGCATAACGTCGCAGACTCATAAAGTCTATGCATGTCCGCCAGTATGTCCGTCTGTATATACGCGAACTAGTCCCTCGCTTTTTGAAATATTGATCTGAAATTTGGCATACGAAGACAACATTCAACGCACTATAGACGAAATTCCAGCCGAAATGCTGCACCGAGTCATCGGAAATTGGCGTATACAGGGTAAGATATGCAAACGGAGCCGTGGTAACCATTTGGCCGACAGTTTGCTCAAATCATAAATGGCATAAAATTTTCTGCATAACGAAAAAAACAGAACCCATTTTGACCAAATTTGAGTATTTTGTTGCATTTTAACATCACAAGTTCTTGTTGCTAGACCCTATATGTATGTATTTATTTAGTGGAACTAAAAAAATTATTTGAAATCTTAAATCTTCTTCAGTTTTTTTACTTTCTGGTAAATTTCTATATAATCTGCGTATTTGACGTATAGACTCGACTCCGATTGAACCGGGTTTGCATATAATTTCAATCGAGTTTTGAAATCATATGAATTCTAGGAGAAAGATGGTTGAACACTTGATTGTGCAAAATCGCGTTGCGATGCAGTTTTTCTGAAATATCCCATTTAAGCACTTTACTTATTAGTTGCGAAATGATGTCCACAAAACATACATCATTGAAATACAAAAACAACTCAGTTAATATAATCTTATAGTACTTTATTCAAATTCATTCAAATATTTTACAAGTTTCTTTAGTTATTTACGTATTCATACTACAAATAATCCGTCAGTTTATTTACGAATCTTTTCCCGCTTTATTAAACTAATTTAGTTTAACTTTCAATACAATTAAATAACATTAAATATATATGTATAATACACAATATTTTTACATAAATATGTTGATAAAAGCTTTAATAGGTTTTGAATACACCAAAAGTGAAACGATACTAAATCTAGAGAGATATGGAAACTAATGTATAAACAGTACTTAAGACCAATATGCTGGAGTCACAGTGTTGACCCATTCTTTCTCTTCATATTTTTAGTAGCAATTAAGTTAAACTGAGAATCACATGTGTTCAACAGCTGTAACTGTACAAATAAACCTTTTTACAGAAATTCTCAAAACAAAAAAGGGAAAATCTGATACTTTTGCAAGAAGAACAAAACAGTTATTTAGTTATCTTTCACAGCTTTAATTAGCTAATATTGTCCTAGGAAATAATTGTTTATTGTAGACATCGAGACAACATAAAAATTGTCAAACAAGATTTTGATTTTTCTGCAAAACATATATATATGCGCATATGATATATATAAAAGCTTGCATGATGAAAAAAATGTCGTTAGAATTTCTTCACAATTCTTTGGTATTTTTTCTTTTCTTATTTTTTGTTTTGTAGTACTTACTAACTAAAGAGCTCACAAACAATTCAAGTTTCATTATTTGTTTTGATTACATAACATTTCAAAGGCAAATCAACTAAATTAACAAACAGCTATACATACGTACATATAAACATATATATATAACTATAGTGTTTCCTATATAATTACTATTTACATACATAAGTTATACACATACTCGTAGTTGAGTATGCGCATAGCTGTATATATGCAAGTGTTTTCTAAACAACTCAAGTACATGAACGCACAACTTTTTAACCAACTAATGAGATATGTATAGTGGAAAATTAAAATATAGCGATATCGATATCGAAAATATTATAGTAAACACGCTTGCGCCAGGAAAGATGTCATCAGCAGTTTTAGATTTTAGCGTAAATAAATTAAGAGTAACTTAAATCAAATAATTTAGAATAACACACTTAATCAAAACCGACGTTTTACTGTAAAGATATTTTAAATTAATTTAAAAAAAGTTCACTACTTCAATTGGGGTAAAATTAAACCTAAATACCACACGCTAAAAGTATAGGAATTAGGAGTTAAGTAAAATTTTGAAGTTACAGTTTTTGTTTTACAAAATAATAAATAAATTTCCTCAATTCTTAATAAATAAAGTTTATAGTTAAAGTGTTAGTTATTTAGTCTTTTCATTTAGTTTCCTAGTTGGAGTCAGCATCGAAACGCGAACACTGTTAAATCGTAGTGCTGAATTTCGCACACTTCGGCGTTCCTTTTACTGAATTACGCAAAAGCTCGCACTTTCGACCGCACTTTGGCACCAACTGTACTCTGAAGTGTTAGTTGATTTTTTGCTTTCGTTTATTTGTGTAACCTTCGCTTTAAGATTTTTTCCTAACTATGCGAACTTTCAGCTGCCAATTGGTATTCTAATTCAGATCATCTCAACTTTTATTTTGTAAATAATATTGATATTTACAGTTAGTTATGAAAGGTACATATTCAATTTGCGCAAAAATTCTCTTAAAAATTTAACCAGCGCAAAATTTCGTAGTATCTACTGCATATATCCCGCACATAATTTTGTAATTTTGCTTTAGCTACGAACTTATTTATTTAGTTTATACATTTTGAATTTGTTAATAACTTTTTTACTTTTATACTTTTAAATTATGTCTGTTATCACTTTAAGCCTACAAATCATTTGGCTTCAATTAATTCGTGTTTGGCAAAGGTTGGTTGTTGGGCGAGTTGTGCCTTTTTCAAAGGCTCTGCCGCCTCAACGAAGTTCTGCCCAGCCTTGAGCACGTAACACATCCCCACTCGTGTTTAGCGTTGTACCGAGAAGTTTCTTTTAGTTTTAATGCTTTGTTATACAAGTATATGTAAATTCAACTAGTCAACCACTAACAAAAAAAAAAGTCGTATAGTCACACATCCTGACAAATGTCGGCTCCCCGCACATTGTAGCACAATTCGACTTTGCTCTTACTTTACTACAACATTAAGTATCCTAAGTTCTAATGCTAAACTGTCATTTTCGTATGGCGAACTTTTGGGCGAATCAGGAACTTAAATTTGCCCTCCTGTATCTTTATTCGCCCCTGTTGCTGTAATTGCTATGACAGCAGATCCTCAGATTCGAGCGCCTCCTCAGGTGGATTCTTCTTCACACAGTCCCGTATACCACTCAGTATGATGGTAACTCGCCGATCGAGCGCCTTCAAGTGTGGCTCCCATAGAATCGGACGAATCGGATCGACGGACATGGACTCGCGCATCAGCTCCGACAGTGGTTTGGGTCCATTATGAAAGCTGTCAAGTAGGCAAATAGCAACAATATGTAAGTAAAAATGCTAATAATACAGAGGACAGATGTGAAGTGTAGTTGATGTTTAAAAATTTAAGCATTTACTTATTTGTCACTGTTTGCAATTAACTAATTCTTTAAACATTAAAGTTCTTACTCTAAAAATGTAAACACGAATACTGAGAGTGGCGCACAAACATGTCAATATGTATAACTTTTTTAACCATCCGTTGTGTGAAAGTTTTGTATCGCTTCGTTGTTTGAAATGGCCTGGCCAGGCCACCTACGAGAAAGCATATTGAGGGCGAAGGATAGTGTGATGATGATGTGTTTGAACATTATTGGAAGTAGTATTGATTAAAAATTGGTGCATTTCCAAAACATATTGCCAATTTTATACTCGTAAAAATGTTTTTTAAGCTTGTTATCAACATCAGGTACCTCTCCGTCATCAACAGGGACATAATCCACATTGTCATTGTCGTAAGTGACGCACGCATCGTCTTTGACATCTATGGTAGCCTGCGTAAGCCATTTACACTAGCACATGAAGTTTTTGTGTAAAACCAGTTATTTTCCTAATCTGTCATCTCTATAGTTAATATACGTGTATGGTATTATATTGTCGCCGAATTTCAAAATTTTAATGGAGAAAAAGATATACACCTTTGAAAATCGAAATGGCCTGTGTAGGCCACATCACACAACGGAGGGTTAAAGAGTTTTTATAGTAAAATGTTGTTTATTTAAAAACTATAAAACAACAACGGATGCTGACAGTTAAGCTCACCACTCTGCAGTTCGTGTGCAGTGTTTTTTTGTCTGATACACTAAAAATTTTTACTCACTCCAATATTCGTTTGAACGTCGACGTCCGTATCATGCAACACTGCAGTAATGGCGCCAAAATTGTTAATTCATCGTGAAAGGGCTTACCAAAACCACGTCCATGATCCAAATGCAATGTAAATGTGTCATTGCCAAATATTCTGGAACGAAAAAATTAATATAATTGAGACATTTACTTAGCTTAAGAAAGAACTATATTTAGCAGTTATTACAAAAGACTCACTTTTTTAACTTAGACCATAATAAAGCTCTTACAGTTATTGGTAATTACATATATTTTATATCATTGCGATGTGTTTAGTTTTCATGGCTGTAACTCGAGTAAAAATGAAGATATTTTGATGAAACTTGGTACACATATTCTTTGGCAACAAAGTAAGAACGAGCTCGTAGATGGGCATAATCGGAGTACTGCCACGCCCACAAAATGCCATATATCAAAAACAAATGAATTGCCATAACTAAGCTCCACAATAAGATACAAGACTGTTTGATACACAGGATCACATTAGGGAGGGGAATCTGCAGTTTGAATATTTTTTTAAATGGGCGTATTCCCACCCCTTAATAGGTTTAATGTGCATATCTCCTAAACCGCTCACTGGAAACAAATGTTTTTAGCACCGACAGTGTGAAAATGGGTGAAATCGGGTGACAACCTCTGACGGATATCGCGTGCAGTTCGAAAATATATATAAATATACCCTTAAAGTAATAAAATAATTCAAATAGTTAAGATAATAAAGTGACGCAATTATGGTTTGCATACTTTGTAAAAATATTCGGTCATTTTTAATTCGAGTACGATCTGTAAGTCAAAAATCAAGAATACTATACCGTTTTGCTAATATATATGATCATATAAAAACAAACAAGAAAAAACGATAACTTCGGTTGCACTGAGGCTGTAATACCCTCATCAATAACTCATGCCTTATTTCGTCAAGATACCTCGTCAAATGAAGGAGTTCTTCACACAAGCGCTTGATTCCGACCATTCAGTTTATATGGCAGCTATATACTACAGTGATCCGATCCAAAAAGGTTCTTCGAAGATTTCATCATTGTCTTAGATAATGATCCCTTCCAAATTTCGTGAAGATATCTCGTCAAATAAAAAAGATTTCGATGCAAACATTTGATTATACGATAGTGATCCGATATCGGCCGTTCCGACAAATGAGGAGCTTCTTGGTGCGAAAAGGACAGGTGCAAAATTTCAGATCGATAGCTTAAAAACTAAGAGACTAGTTCGTATATATACAGGCAGATGGACATACGGACGGACGGACGGACGGACGGACAGACGGACATGCCTAAATCAACTCAGCTCAAATGTATATATATATATTTATGTATATATTTTATAGGGCCTCCGACGTTTCCTTTTGGGTGTTACAGAACTGGCACGCTTGATATACCCTGTTTAGGGTATAAAAAGGATCAAAGTAGTGACATGTATACTAAACGGAATGGTTTGTTGGAATAACTGTTCTATATATGGTAATACAATAAATATAACTTAAAAAAGGTGGCAATGAATAGCTTCCGAAGTCTTTTTTATTCAAAAATGCTAACTAATTTTGCTCACAACTTTACTTCGCTCACTGTTGCAACTTCAAAGTTTATTTAAGTTAATAATTTCCGCTAATATCGGACTTTTATTTTAGCAAATTACCGAATTATTTCATTTGCTCCACAAAAGTCTGAACTTTATTGCAGCATTTCTGAAAATTACACTAATATAACCACTACCGGTTTCTCCATTACAAATACAATAAAGCAGCGGCCGCTATTATTAGCGGCTCTTGCAGTGCATTAAGCCAAAGCGCCACACGTGGCGTATGAGTAACTTTGGCATATAATAACACATTTGCATGCCACAATTGCTGAATAGTTGAATGCGTTGCGACGCCTTAAGCGTTTTAGGTAATTTTCTAGCACAGCAAACAATTCGATAAGCCCACACACAAAGGACGGCACTTGAGCAATGGGGAAGTGCCGTTATACTGAATCGAGACAACAGCAGCAACAAAGGTTCAAAGGCAGGCCGATTATTTGTGTGTGGGTGATTGAAAACAGTAACGGATTTTCCACTCAAATGGGCTGATAAAGGAAAACTGCATTGCCTCGCGGAGGTGCCACAGCAAGTCAGTAAGCGAAAATGAAGCGGCGAACTGACACAGGACAACCCCTTCCCATACACCATGTCCTTTGCTCTTGCTATGGCTCTATGAACATATGTACGCACACACACATATGCTTTATCTGCTGCACGCTTCATTGCCGCAGCAATCTGCATATGAGGGTCTCAGCGCCCGTTCAACTCATTCAATGCATATGCATGCCTAAGTGTATTGGTGCGCTGGTGTGTTGGTGTGTTGGAGCGGTGGATTATGAATAATTTTCGCATGTGTCGTTCAAAGTAATGCAAATGTTTCCCTAACCAATACGGCTTTAGTAATTGTATTGTGCATACAATGTTGTAATTGCGACTAATTTTCCAGAACTGCTTATGTGCTTGCAAAATCTTATCAGCAGCGATTAAAGTGCACGCACACAACTAGCAGACTATTCCTTACAGCCATAATTTTAATGTCTTAATTTTTGATGACCAGAGTCTTCACTGTGCCAGCTCGTCTTTAATGATTCTTACAATATGTATCAATATACAATTTTAAAGAAATTATTACAGTTGGTTTTGTAATTCACAAAAATTCGATTTTTTTTAGGCTGTCACATTAGGTTCGTGCTCAGTAATTAAAATTTCGTAGACTTCATAAAAATCTCACCTCCGAAGAATTCAGTGACTGTATGGCAAGCCTATAGCCAATGAGCATAATGGTTAATTAATTTTTATTGTAGCGAAATCTCCTCTCATTGAACTTGTAGTCGCTGATAAATATTGTGACTTACATGCGCAAACAGTCATCATAATTTGTTTGCATTCATAATGCGCAAAGTGCATCATGGAATTCGGAATTTCAGCTCAAACAACTCAGGCGGAGTAAGCTACTAGTCATTTAAGTGCCGGTAATCCAAACGCATTCAACTTACAACTTAAGTAGCATCAGCAATACAGGCATCGCGTTCATTTATGCGCATAATAATGTTAAGCGAGTTCCGGCGGGTTCAATAGAAGCTACGAATGTTGCCTACTGGAATTAAATAAGCCAATGAGAGCTGTTAACATGAGCTGAAATGCATTTGTTACTGCCTGATAACCGCAATGTGTGGGTGTGAGTGCGAATGAATGCACCGAGTGTTAGTGTTAGTGCGTCGCTGTCAACGCAAGGCTAATTGAATTACAACAACTAAACGCGTGGTATGATTAAAAATTATTCTGCCAAATTTAAAATAACTTTTGACAAGTTTCTGATTTTAATTTATTTCTTTTATTATCGGAAATTTCTTTGGATAAATTTCCTAACTCTGGCAGCACTCTCACTATCTAAATCTTTTATGCCTGTCAAGGAATTAGTTGAGCAAAGTGGCAGATTGCAGCTGAGCAGCATTGTTGGGCACAACTTCGCTTATCTGGCTCGTAAATTTCCGCTCTTAAGCAGCCACAAACATTTATTTACTGTAACTAAAACTATTCGAAAAGTTTGCAACTCTCCCACACACACACACACACCCAGATACATACACACACACTAAGTCGAATGCGTGCTAGAGCCAGCTTAATGAAACTTAGAAGCAACAACAGTTATTTGCATGAATAAAAACCCATAAAAGATCACGTCACAAATTCGGAGACTCAGCTGCTCGGTAAATTGCAATTAAAATGCGTCAAATTGTCGAAAAGAAAAATCAGAAAATGCGATTTTTAACAAATTTAATTGAACGGCGAAAAGACGAGCTCTGCTGGTGCCGCGCAGTCGTGACAACGTGGAAAGGACGTAGACCAAAGCACAATGAAAAGTAACGGCACTTTCCAACAGTTTCTTGCCAAGAAATATACAAATAAACTTACGACTCCACACTTACTGCCACCCACACACACACACACAAGATTTTAGCGAATATTTGTAAAAAAAAGTAGCACTAAACTATCCTTTCGTTTCAATTTGTTCGCTGAGTGAAAAGTGAGCTGTGGCAAAGCAAAGCGGGAAAGTTGCGGAAGAGCTGCACAGCTCATTAAAAGTTAATTAAAATTATTGTGACATCTGAGTAACAGCATTGAGCCAACCGCAAATATTGCAGCGCTCGCGGTTAGGTATAAAGGAGCTGGTGCAACAAAGCGCATATCGAAATAGATGAACTGTATGTATGTACGCGCAGAAAGTCTGAAGAAGAAGGCCAAAGCATGAAACTGAGTGTCTACTGAAGGTACAGCACTGTACAATAACGAAATTCCAAAGTAATAAAGCTATAAAAATTCTTTCCAAAAGTATGTCGTAACTTTTGTAAAACAACATTAACATGATAACCGCTTTAAGATCAACAACGCTTTTCACTCTACATTTGGAAAGGCACTTCAACTTACTATTAGAAAAAAAAGATGTAAGACCAATACCACACCTTAACGAGTTAATTATGCCACAGTTCTCAAATAATAAAATTTCTTACGGGGTCTTTTTAAATAAAAGCCGCAAACAGTAGAAAGAAGCAAATACAACTTTTGTAAATTTTATTAGTTCAAGTGTCACTCATGTGTTAAAAAGTGGCAAGAAAATATTATGCAAAAACTAAAGGAAGCAATGCCGAAATGGACGGAGTGCAGTCAATATTGAAATAAAATTACCTAATGTTTTTTATGTATGCTAAAGCAAATCTTAATATCAATTAATATTTTTCAAATCATTAGTAAATCTCACTGGGTGTGGTGCACACATTAAAAAATGAGTTTGAGACATATCGAAATTAAATTTTTGGACATCAGTATTATTATTTTGATTGCAATAGCCGAATATTTTTTAAATAGTTGTTTTTTTTTAAAGTGTAGCCGCTCGACTAAGTAACTCAAACGGCTTAAAGATAAGCACAAAACTACATTTTTTTTTCAAATTTCAAAAACAAATCGTATACTTTTTATTTTTTGCTTACGTTTTTCTATATATTTCTCCGTACAATGACCTTACCGTTTTTCAATAGAATGAAAGATGTAAGTTTGGCGGGCCAAAAATTGCCCAATTGTAAGTCCATGCATAGGAAATATTTTACAGATTCATAATATTTAAAAAAATTTACAATCACTACAGTAGTTTAAGAACATGTTTTGGTAACTTCGGAAATAGTTAACTCTCTAAGAACTAAATTGTTTTTTTTAAATCATTTGCGTTTTGTTTATTTTTTATTATTTATGAAAAATATATCAAAAAAATGTTTAAATATTTCATGCATTAGTTCTTTTTTTGTTCAAATTCCCAAAACTACCGCTTAGTCTTAGGTTTGCCCTTAAACTCTTTAGTTTCCTACCCATGTTTTCGTATTTCATTTATCATATAAGTTTTTTGAAAATATTTGTTTTACTATATACTAATAATATTTTAGATTATGATTATATATTTTGCTGACAAATTTTTTAGCAACGCTTAATCTTTCTAAAATAAACACTAAATTTCTCTTATTGAATTCATTTTTTAAATAGTTGACAGCCTCATAAAATGTTTTCAACTCTAAGATTTGCCAAACACTCCAAGGTATTCGATTTTTAAAATCATACGCTTATTACTATGAATGAGTTAAAACGGCGTATGGCGGCACTCTGTATCGAATTTCGATTGTCGTTCGCTTCGTTTCACACAATTTCGTTGCAAACAATCGATTGTATTACCTGAAGTATTTTTACTTAAAAAAATGTATATATAAATATTATTTTTCGAAGTATTATTACTTATAGCCGGCGTTTATATTTCAAAATAATATAATAATCAGATTTTTAGAAAATCGATATGTAATTGTAGGTAGAATCGCCGATAACAAGTGTTTATTTTCTCGTTCCGAAGTTATTTTTCATGCTAGAAGTCCATTCGGAGGCAATGATTAGCATTTCTTAAAAAAATTTATATATTTTATAGTTTTATCGAATATTTAGCTTAACGTGATTGTAATCACATCATCCATACGATAAAAACAATAATTATTGATACAAAAATCTATAGGGCTTTCAGCAGTTATTATATACTCACTTGAAGGTTTCATAATGGTGTCTGTCCATATTTCCGGTAAGGAAATCAAATATAGCCATATCCATTAGATCCAGTAAGCGTCGACCTTCGTCATAAGGAGGTATTTCGCGAACCTTCAGGATAAAAATAAATATAAAAAATTTAAATGGAGTTTTCAAAATACACAAGTTTTCTAATAGAATTTATATAATTTTGATTTTTTAGCGCTTTATAGAAGCTTATAAGAAAGTATGAAATGTAAGAGACAATTTTTGCTACTTGTGAGTAAATTCTTTGAGTTTTGCACTTCAGCATTCACAAAGAGTTCGTTGAAGTAATATGCATCAAACACAAAAAGAAAAAACGAAAAAGAAAGTCACACAAGCATTTTCAATTGAAAACTGTTGCGCAAGCATCATTTTAACAATATATATTTTTTTAATTTTATTTTCACTTTAATAGCCAGTCCCTTGGCAAAAACTTGTAATTACGTCGACTTTAAGTTTTTGACCCGTTTGGCTGCTTTTCTTGCAAATACTTAAAATTTAAAAATAATTACCAAATGATACTTTACAAGAGACTTTAGAAAGTCTCTTTTACTTACAATGGAGCAGTAATTGGAATCTGTTTCCCACTGAGCCTTCCTGCGCTTATGGTACGAACGACGCCAAGGATGCCGCCAAACCTGCAAAGAGGTGTAAAAGAGAAGGAGAAAGAGACAAAACGTAAAGATGAAGTTTCAATTTCTCAACCAGTTAAATAATAATTAGTTATTTAAATGAGCAAAGGTAAAAAGAAAATGTAAAAGATTTCGGTTATGTAAAATTGTATGTAAATACACACATATACATATATATATATATTATATCCACTGGCGCACAAGCACTTTGTGCAGCGCCAAGCCGAAATGCTGATCTGCAATCTGAAATGAGGCGTTGAAGCCATAAGCAGCACTGGTGCGGCTGCGCGCCGGCCCAAAGACAACAGCTTTCTTATGTCAAAGCTTAGTGTTGAAACGCAACAAACACAAATTGAATCGCTATAGCAGCAACGGTTGCGGTCATCACTGGCGCTAAAGGATTTGCACAAATTAAGCAAAAAGAAAAGCGAATGAGGCATGAGAAGGAGTCGTGGCTGAAGGTGCTCGCTTTCTTTCTGGTTTAATGATGTGTATATATGTTAGTGCAGAAGGGTAGAGCCAAGGCGTATGAGCTGTGCATTGGGGAATATTTAAGTTCAAAGGAAAGTTTCGCACAATAAATTAGGCGGCATCAGTAGAAAATATTAAATTACTTAATAACCGGAAAGAAAAGAAACCCTTCGGAGCAGAATTATTAAAATGCAGACGAAAATGAAAATAAATTATAGTCAAGATGAAATGCCGTGGTATGAATATCAAAGCCAAGTCGAAAGAAAACACGAAAAGAAATTCTTGAATTGCTTTCAACGTCAGCGCCGACAGGTAAGAGCAGTCAGCCAATGATGCACTAAATCTCCGAAAAGTTGTGCCACAAGCGCATTCGAAATCGCAGACACACACACGTACACTTACGAGGTTCATACTCTTAAATATGCTTGCCGGCTATTTGAGTACATCACTTTTAAATAAGTATACATGTACGTATGTTTGTGAATGTAAATGTCATGGAAGTCAGCGGAAGAGGATCTCTTCCTGGTAGTCAGCAAAGTTGGTCAAAACGCTGCGCAAAACTTGTTTGGCTGCTGCGGGCCGAGTTTTGCGAAATAACTTTGCTGACTGGCGCATTGTAAATCACTTTTGCAATTTAAATGCTGGCTGCGCTGCGGTGGGGAGGCGGTAGCGCATCGCGCCTTGCCATCTGCAACTAGAAAATAAACAGTTAGACACCGTGCGATTCTTGCAATTGCGAATGAGTAGTTGTGGTAGTAGTAGTCCAGCGGTGCTCAAAACTCCAGTTCAATCGAAATAATTTCAAATGTAAACAGAGAATACAGAACTTTTATCAAATACAACATGCCACCTTGTTCGCCCAATGCACCGGGGATTGCTTATGGAAAGCGCAAAGTGAAGAGTATGTAAAATAGTAACTAAAGATCCCGCTCCTGTTGCTTTTGTGAACATGAATTTATAAAAATGTTATAGACAAATTGTTTCTATTTTTGTTTAAAATCTAAATGCAAAGGTTCGACTTTGAAGAAACCTTCGGGAATGTTCAGAAGTACACAGAAGTTACGTGAACAAATAGTGCCATACTTTTTCGCCACTGTAGAAATATCTCTCAAATCATATTTTATGTTATATGCGTTTGAATGAGATCATAACCTTCAACGGACTTCAACCGTCTCCCAATTTCGTAACCAAATTAATGTTGGTTGCATTTGGTTGCACAGAGGCTAAAGTACCTTTCACAAATACAAACAATTTCTTACAAGAACTTGATTCCGATTGTTCAGTTTACGGCAGCTATTTACTATAGTTATCCGATCTGAACAATTTCTTCGAATATTGTATTATTGCCTTAGACAGTAACTCATGCCTAATTTCGTGAAAATACCTCGTCAAATAAAAAAGTTTTCCATACAAGTACTTGCTTCCGATCGTTCAGTTTGTATAGCAGCTATATGCTATAGTGGCCCGCTATCGGTGGTTCCGACCAATGAGCAGCTTATTGGGGAGAAAAGAACGTGTGCAAAATTTCGGATCGATGGCTAAAAAACTGAAGGACTAGTTCGCGTATTTACAGACAGACAGACAGACAGACGGACATGGCTAAATCGACTCAGCTCGTCACGCTGATAATTTATGTATGTATAATATTTTATAGGGTTTTCGACATTTCTTTCTGGATATAACAAACATCGTGACAAACTTAATATACCCTTTTCAAGGTCTAAAATTAATAAAATAATTCCCTATCCCAAAATATTTAGCATCACTTTATCCTCACGTAATTATTCAAGTGTTGGCTTACCCTCAAAGGGACTTGATTTAAGATTAACTTTAGGTAAATGTTTTAATTCAATTACATGGCACTTAAACTGAAAGCGAACAAAAGAAAACAAAAGCCAGACAAACAAACACCGCGATGAAAGAAAACTTTGTAAAAAACGTAAATTGAAAAAAAGTTTAAAAATCTAGGTAATACTTGAGAGGCAGCTCGAATGCATTTCGACCGTTTGCCTTTGACCATTCGCTTGAGCTTTTACGCCCTTAAGAACCTTAAGTTGAAAGCTTTTGCTTTTAAGAAAGCCGAGGAAAAAATAACGACAATACAAACAGAATGTAGGGAGGAGAATGCGAATAATGCAAATAACATAGAGGATTTAAGGAATGTGGAGAGTATAGGCAGGCGCAAGAGCAGAGTGAGTCAGCTATTGCGTATGAAAACTGAAAAGTGCGAGCAAACAATATCCCCGACTTTTTGAGTTAGTTTTTCAGTTTAGTTATTATACCAGTTTGATTGCAGTTCCTTCTTGCTTCATTCTCTTTTTTCTTGTTTTTTAGTAACTAGATAATTTTTGTTGTTTTATTTACTTCACAGGCTAAAATAATTTTACTCTTAAGCTATTTTGCCTTTAAATTTGTTGTTGTTAACATATTTCTGCAACAGTACCGAGAGGGTTTTGTGTGCGCACAACCGGGGCCAGGTTGGATTAATTTTAACTTTTTAGTTGTGATTCCCGTTGTATTTATCGCATTGCAAAGCGCGAAATGAGCATGTCATATAAAGAAGAGCATGTCATACAAACACACGCAACAAGGAAGGCCTTGGTGGAGGAAATGCTTGCACTCGTAAAGCAAGCGGCTGCGGCGACAGCCCCTCAACGGGAAGCGCCGGAAGGAGGAGCATTGTAAAGCTAGCGCTGACGGAAGTGGTCCTTTGTGGATTATTATTATTGTTATGAACATTACTTAGTTTAGTTTACAAAAACACCAGCGTTTTGTTTGGCAACGCGCTGGGACTGCGACCTTTCTCTTTTCACATTTTTTTTACATTTTTTTTATTTTGTGCTTTTTAAATACTAAGCTATGAATATATACAATATATATAAATATATATATTCACAGAAGTGCATAAGTATTCAAATTCCTTTATTATTTTGTTTTCGCCAACTCTTAGCTTTGCTTTACATTAAATATGCGCAGTTGGTCTTCGCTTTCAATGTGCTTTTCGGCGCAAGTTGATATTTATTTCTCTCCTTTATTGTTATTTTTTTTCTTTAATTGTGGGAATCCGATTAGTTGTACTCGTATTTATAGAGGTATAAATACGTAAGCAAAGAAGTTACTAACGTTTGAACCACACGAGCTAAACTTCTGAAATAATTATCTTTATAAATGGAGTAGAGTCGCTTGAGGAACTGTAAACTATAATCATGTTTGTGGTAAACTTACATAATACCTAGATCGTGTGAACAGAATCTAAAAGTATAATTAAATTTTCTTGTTATTTTTAAAACATTTTCTATCATAATATTAGAGAGTATTTTTTTATTCCTCTTATAGGTCTAGTAAAAAGAGAGAGAGGTGAAGATGTATGGGCGTCACACGAGTTAGCATGGACTGAATTTCCATATGCGAATCGCTGCTGAATCACAACAAATCGACTGTACCTATTCATGGCTAGTGATTTTGCTGGTGAAAGATTCGCTTGAAGAGAAACTAGTGAAAATCGTCTGCCCCAGTTTTTTGCAGAGGAACGGTTTCTATGAAAGTGGAATTATGAAATTACCATATTTTTATTAAAATAACAACAATTTATATAACAGAGCGTTAAATCGGTTTATTCTAATACGCTAAAAAGAACCTTAAATTGTATGTAATAAATATCTCTATTTACTAGACTTTATATTATATATTTTGTTATATATCCAACTGAGAAATGAAGCTTATCCTACCAGACAAACTTCAAAATAAATTTGGTATGATGTAATCTAATTCTCTAAAATTAATGAAGTTTTTTCTAAATTTATAACATAATTTGTGAAGTGAGAAATGTAAAAAATTAAGTAATTTAAAATTTATGTTCAAGGTGATATTTTGGACATATTTAATGTAGTTTCTTAAACAAAAAAACCTCAATTTGAATTAATAACAGCCTTAGAATGTCTAAAGACTCTCCTATATATGCAGAATCACAAACCATAGACTTTTTTTAAATTTCAATTTATTTAAGTTGAAAAATATTCGAAACTATAGTGATAATAATTACACTCACACATACACTCTTCAAAAGCTACATACATAGCGCTGACTAATTGTTTCTTACCGAGACCGCTTTTAATTACACATTACTCATTCTACCAGAGACTTGCGTCTAATTCGAGTTTTTATATTAAACATAATGCTTACATCACACACAACTGTACAAACATATAAAAACTCGATTACACTCACCTTTCGACCTGTCTGCTCGAAACTGGGCAAAAAAGCGGCGAATGAACCCTCCAACATATCCGGGTTACCGCAAACGGCATGCCCGGTGTCACAGTAGTAGGAGCACTTGCCGTGGAAGCACAAGTTCGACGAGGGCGAGACGAAGAAGGTCCGTAATAAATTGTCGTCGGCGACTTGATAAATTTCCGTTGTAATGTTTAGCAGGCGACCGGTGACGGGCATAGCGCGACGAAAACCCAAAATTCTGCAAAACAAAAAAAAAACACATAACTGTACATTTGAAATAATAGAAACACACAAGAAAATGGCAAGAAACACATTAAGCGGCGGTGTAATGGCAATAAAATGCAATGTACGATGAATAAGCGCTTGTTGTAATCGTTGTAATCGCAAATGGATGGTTGTTAGTTGGAGGAATTAAAAAAAGATGTAACAGAAGAGGCTACATGTGTTTCTGTTGAGAACACGAACTAAAAAATGGCATACCATAATGCTTGAGCTGAATTAATGTGCAACAAATAAAATGAATTAAATGTGTGCAAGTGTCTAGAGGCTTGTAAAATTTAGAATATACCTCTGTCTACATGCGAGCACTTGTAAAAAATGTCGAACCAAAAACAACACACTTAAAAATTACTAAAATAACAAAGAGGGGGTACACCAAAGGCGGTATGTGAACGTACCGTATACTACAGTTGCATATCAGATGAATTGAGGTCTAAAGGAGTTATTTGTCGTTCTTGTAGCTTTCTCTGCTATGCGGCGTTTTTAGTTGTAGCAACAAGAGAAAAAACAAAAGTCCAGAAGAAAACCGGGCAAAAAGTTGGGTGAAGATGCACATACATGTCCCCACAGTTTAATACTCCATTGGAGTATATATACTTGTAGGAATTAAAACGTTATTCATGTTCTCTTTGGGATTTTGAGCCGTGGCAAGGGGACTGTTTGCTGTCTCAAAGGAAAACACAAAGAAATGTGCGTAGACTACACCCGTCACGATTTCATGTTAATGGATAAGGATTTTAAAATTTCGGATTCTCCTTTGTGTATTAAAGTTCATTAGTTTTCCAGAAATACGAATTCTTACGCGCCGAATCGAATTCAAAAATAAAGAGTACATTGTATGGATGGGAAACGTTTTCCTTTTAAGCCGCATCTTTTTAATTATAGCCAGATAATGAGTAATAATATGTATGAATGCAGGAGAGGAGGTCCAACATAAGTAGATGAATGTAAAATTAATACCGGCTGGGTGAATGTGCGTGCGAAATGAACGGGCGAAAATTATACTCATTAATGATTATTTCAATTCAATGCTGTGAATACATATAAAGTGCTATTGATATGAGTTTTTATGCTTGGATAACGGTGTGCGGTAGAATTCGTGTCAGTTTCATCAGTTCTTTCACTCACCGATCCAAATGAAAAGCAGCGATTTCCGCATTGTGGCGCTCATAGTCCGTAAAATAGAAGTGGTTCGGCAAAGTTTGCTGTTCACGTGGAAATCTGTAAAGAATTATAAGATTTTGATAAGTATGATTTGAATGTACCATATATTAGAATGAGCCAAAATTAAGAAAAAAACTAATATAGAATTTATACGTTAAAATGAAAATAAAGGGTGATCCATTTTGAGGTTCTTTATTTTTTTAAGGGGAAAAAAAAATAGAAAATTAAAATCTAATATTTTTTTAAGATTATCTGCTTCAAATATTGGCCGCGACTACGTCTCAGATGTTCTATCCGTTGCGTCCAATTTTCGATTACTCGTTCGAGCATTTCGACTGGTAACGGGATTAACCGCTTAGACAACCGGCTCAAAAGAAATTATCTTTAAAATCTAAAATTATCTGCTCTCCGAAGTGTTCTCCTAATAAATCTATTAATTGATGCAATGTGTGGGAAGTGGCGCCGTCGTGTTGGAACCAAATGTCGCCGAGATCAGAGGCTTCAATTTCAGGCATCAAATATTCAGTTATCATGGCGCGATAACGGTCGCCATTGTCGGTTAAGTTCTCACCGGCATCATTTTAGAAGAAATATGGGCCGATGGTTCCACCGGCTCACAAACCATACCAAACCGTAGTTTTTTCTGGATTAAATGGCAGCTCTTGAATTTCTTCAGGTTGCTCGTCGCCCCAAATGCGGTAATTGCGCTGAACAATATTTGGCTCGAAAATGTACTTTGTACGCTTTTAATTTAAGATCCCGACGTAAAATGCGAGAAGTCGTTCCATACGTCAGTCCGCCGAACCGACTCTCCACGGTCTTCGTGTTCACTCTCAGCTACGGTTGCTAAATTTTCTTCACTGCATGCTGGACATGGTGTATTCAGTCGAATATTATCCAATAATGAATGCTGGGTCTCATGATGGGTAATAGTGTTGCGAATAGTCCGCTCAGTAGGCCGATAATGTTGATCATAAGTTGAGCGAAGCGCGCGTAACATATTCTTTACAGAACGTAAATTTTCGTAATCAAATTGAATGTTTTGTAAACGTTACTCAAGCGTCAGTCTTTCTTTTCTTTAAATGCCTAACAATAATAAACAAAAATAACATGACAGCTTGACACGACTCATGCGTGATCTGTCAAAAAAAGCTAAAGAAAAAAGTACCTCTACTTGTATGCTCCATTATATATAGAGAGAACAATATCCCTGCACGACAGAATTTTGGAAAATTTATGCTCTACAAGAATCCGCAAAGTGAAAACTTGTTACTTAAACGATTCATAAGTTAAGAAATTTTTAATGAAAGTCGAACTTTTTACGTGCTCTTTGAGTAGCAAACTTTGCATGCCAACCGACACCTAAAATCTTGAATTGCAGTGATATTTAGTTCTCTGTATATGTGTTGCTATTAACCCATGCACAAGATATTTACTTTCTTTTTGTTCACCCTTATGTAGGTATATGTAATAAATTAGTTTTTCATATAAAATTTAACTATATTTTATTTATATAAAATTTTTTAATTATAACTATTTCAAACTAGACTCCTAAGATACATTTTATAACCAAGATCTCAATATAAGGTATAAAACTATTGATGAAGCTCTACGAAATAGAATTCTGAGCTAAACAAGAGAACTAGAAATTCAAAGGTATTTCGTTGATTAAATTTAGTTAGTTTGTTGATTCTAGTACTAGTTTATGAACACGATTTCAGTGACCACGAAATTCAGTTTATATTTCCAGCCACTTAATAATATTTTCAACAAAAACCGACAAAATGCACTGATATACGCCTAGCCTCAAGATCAATCACACAGCCAATTTCCACTGCTGTGCGTGTCTATACCGTTATACGTGTATACTTGTATAAGCGCTTGATATTTATTGCGTTTTCCACTGTTGGCTACTGCACGCACCTTGACATTGCCAATAACGGTATCAAAGGCAGTATTAATCTGCTACATTTGCATTTTGCCATGCGCCCCATAACCGCTGCGACTTTTATTACTTATGCCAATTGCATGGCAAATGGAGTTGCAATAAATTGCTATCAGCCACGATTAAAAATGTTTATTGTTGTCGTTGTCATTACACACAACACCAACAATTAACAACAGAAGTCACTCGTGGCCAGCGTGGCGTGTGGGTTATACATGTGACTGACTGCATACGCATTTATGTTGAATGGCGGAAAATCGTAAATGACAGCAGGCAGTACGATTACGTGCAATAGCACATGTTATGTGGCTTTCAGCGGTGCTTACGTGTGCATGGTTGCAATATGGTCATTGGAATTCACAGAAATATCGCCTGCAATTTCACCATACATTGCCGTCGTCAACAGTTAATGCGAATTCCGTTGAATTGGAATTCCTTGTGACTCTTGATTGAAGTAAAGGCAAAATCATTTAATAACCTTGTTAATGTTAATTCGTTCTACGCTTAAACTGTTACTTACTTAATTGCGGTATATGTGGCATATGCAAATAGTGTAATTACCTCATTGGCTTCATCAGCGCTTTGATGTCGCTGGGAAATTCTATAATCAATTTCAACTGCGTGCCGCCCTCCTTTTGCACTGAAAAGAGAGAAAAGTAATTGAAATGTAAATATGTATGTGATAACGGATCACGTGACATTGAAATGCATAAGCTTAACATATACAATATATATATTAGGGTGGATCGAAAAAAATTTTTTTTGCTTAGCCTGCGGGTAAAATTTGTAAATTAAAAAAAAGAAAATTTTGGGAATAAAAATTTTTTTTTAACATCTAACTTTTAAAGTAAATTTCCAGTTAAACAAGTTTGGACAAAAAAACATTTTTTTTGGTTTAAACTCTTCATATTTAAACATTTTACTGTGTACTCCTAAACCGGGTATAAATATGCCTCTAAAGTATAAAATAATTCATATTGTTTTTTTTTTTTTAATTCCTAAAAATCACCTTAATTTTAGACTGTCACACTAAGTGCATTCCTTAAGGTTTTTAAAAATATTTCGCTTTTAACACACAAGAGAAAATAAAAAGCAATAATTCATGTTTTACTGGAAGATTTGATTTTAATTGTGTCCTATTATAATTGTTGAAATAAGTAAGTTTAAATAGTAATTTTCAATATGACTGCCTAGGGGGCGTATACGTAACATTCCACAATGATTTGTATTTTCAAATCTAACTCATACGCCATGGCAGTCCTTTGAATTGCAGTTGATTTTTGAAAAAACCTGATAAATGAAAAATTCTAATCACAATTACTTAAACTTAAATGCGAAGAGAAGTAATTGGATAAAAAATTGTGAATTTATTATTAAATTTAATTTTCACTAACTGCCTTCACCTATAAATATTGCGCATTCGCCTCTCCTCACACAAAAATCACAAAAGGGGGTTCAGTTAACCGCAATAACCGCTATCGGTAGAAATTGACTGCAGTTTACATAAATAACCATGAATAATAATAAAATCAGATTACAAATTAAGGGCGACTTAAAAGTGTGCAACTACCATCTAGCCGTAAATTTAATGCAATTAAGCGTTTTCCAGCCCAAGCAGCCTAACAATTTACATATATGCTACTTCCGCTTCCGGAGCCCAGAGTTTAAGCTAACTAAAAATGTGAAAATTATAGAGAAATGGATAAATCGTTAATTATAGAAAAGAGAGTGAGAAACTTGCTTAACGCACAGCACTCAGACTACTCACTGCACACTCGATGCAAAAACGCGCTGATAACTGGCGGGATGAACAAGAATGTAAACAGCAGTCAAGTAAGCCGTAAGCATTCGGCTATTCGCAGTTATTTGAAAGTGGCAATAACAAAACGAGAAAAGAGTACCGAAAATAGTGCTCCTTTGGTTTTTTTTTATTTATGAAGTATACCCGCACTAAAGGCTGGAGGCTAAAGTTGCGTTTCCGCACCGCAAAGTCAGTCGTCAGAATGGACTCCTCTTTTCGGCTCTCCACTGTCGGCCCGGCAGTAAGCACACGCACGCAAACTCGCTCGCAACAGAAGTATGCAAAAGTATAATATATAGTGAGCATGCAGTTTGCGATCAGAACACGAAACTTCTCATCCTAGGCCGTTTTGTGTTATTTTTCGTGGGGAAATGCGCAATTATTCTGATCCTGAGTTGTTAACAGAAACCGAAACCAAAAAATACAACCAAATTGTAACACAAACAGCAAACACAAACACAGTGCGAAGCTACAAATTTAACCACAGCATTCATGCTGACAGACAATAAAATGAGAGAAGCCATAGTTGTTTTTCGGTTGCGTTGCCGGTGAAAAGTTTTCAGTTGTTCTGCTCAAACACTTGCTTTCGTAGTTGTTTTGTGCTGCCATATTATTATTTTATTTGCGTTTTTTGTACCACAATTCCTAAATATTGTTGATAGTTGGCAATTGTTGTAATAAAATTTGAAAAAATATTTGTTCTACAAACAAAATGAAAATGAAAATATATATCGCACACTAAATGATTGACAATTGTAACTGAATAAAATAATTGTAACAAAAATACACTGATTTATAATTTCTTAATAATTATTTGCATGCATAAATCTTTTTATGAAAATAGTATGTATTTTGTAATTTTGCTTTATAAAAATTATGTCATTCTCTTAAAATCCTCAAACACTAAGCGAAAGCCTAACTTAGCTCATAGAGATAATTTCAATTTCGTTGCCTCATGTAGCATGCAACAACGGCATTCATGTACTCGTAGTTACAACAACTAGTACGTTAAGTGGCAACAGTCAAGCCGCGTTGAGTTAAGTTGAATCGAGTTTTACCTTCAACTTTGTTTCAACTTTACTCACACATCCACACAAAAGGGCAGAATGCACCTTTATGCTGTAAATAAAAGCAGCAATTGTTGCAACGCACACAAGCAACCGAAATAACAACACAATTAGTGCAATTATGTAGGTTGCATCTGCAATGCCATTCATACCAAAGTTACAGTTCTTGCCAGCGCTCTTCTGGCTGGGATCATTCCTACACAGGAGTGATGTAATGGACGAGTATAATGGAATGTTCTATGTGCATATATATACACATATGAAAGAGGTAGTGTCGAATGAAGCAGGTGAAGGCGGAAACACAATTTGTTTGGCTAATTGTTGAAGTTGCGTGACTTCGTCCACATATTGTTGTACATTTTATATTGCTGCTCACGTAAGAGCGTTCATTTATATTTCAGTCATTCTATATTTGTAGAATACCGGTGTTATTTTAAAATAACTGTACAAATTGAAGCCATGTTAATATTTAATTTACGCTTTAAAGCTCTTTATACATATGTATGTATATACCTTTGCTGCCGCCAACGCGCAGTTCGTTGAATACCCGACCACAAATCGGTGGTAGAGATAAGCGCTTAAGTGTGTTTGAAAAATTCGACTGAAAATCTTCTAGATATATTTATCAAACAAACATAGTGAAATATTTGTCCTTTGTTTTTTCTATTTTTTGTTTGTTAATTTTTTTCAAGTTTGTAATTAATTACACGGAACACAGTAGTAATTATGGCACTACCATTCTTCCTTTTTTTTTTAATTGCTTTTTTAAATCTCTTAAGGGAAGTTTAGATCCACTACCAATATTTTGAGGAAATATGTTATGAAATAAAACAGTTAAAATATAACATTTAGCACCAATTTTTTTTTTTTTGAAAAACAACTTATCCTCACCTTCTCGCTTTAAAAACATCTTTAGGGCCTACGACATCGACGAATCAGTTTTTTCTGCGCATATAGCTCAAAAGTCTCAATGAAAATATTTCGCCTGGTTTGGAGCGGATATTTGAGTTTTGAAGCCAGATCAAACACAAATATGGCGAATGAGGTGACTGCGGCTCACGGACAGATTACGAGCAGGGTTGATGAATTAAATCATACAATATCAAATTTCACAAAACTAACTGCAAATGAATTTTTATCAACTCAGTGGCGAAAATGAGGATTTCGCAAGCAAAAATACACTCTAAGACTCGTTGTTCACAGATCCATTTCCTTTGTGACTTCCACAAATTCACTGGAATTTATTTTAAGCGACTCTGTTTAAAATATTTATTAAAATACTTGGCAAAGTCTTTTTTTAACTAACTTTTTATGTTTTTAATGGAATAAAACTGGTTTTATGCACTTCCAACTAATAGAAAAATTTATTACGGTACAGCTTTGCAGTATATTAGCACAACTAAGCTAAAATGGTATTTCCTGAATTTTGTTTGTTAAATATGACATATTACATAACTTTCATTATTAGTCAACGTAGTGGTATTAAATTTACTTAAAAAATAATCAGAAAATTGAAAAATGCTTTTATTGTATAAAGTTGTGTGAATTACAAACGAAGCCTTTTCTCTTTAGTTTTGTTATATGTACTCACCGACATGTTGCACCGGCAGTTTGAGCATATCATGTATCACTTCGTCCACAATTGTGTCGTTTTCCTTGTAGAGCTCACGCTTAGATATGTGCCATTGGAAACGTTCCAAATTTGTTGCATTTTTGCTATAAAAAAACATAGAACAAATATTAAATTTGGATATCGAACACTTAAGTAAATACGCAAATAAAACTCAGATACAAAAGCTTGAAATTTCCATACCGCCGAACGCGGCGTCAGTAATAGAAAATTGCATCTTTTGGCATGTGAACTACGGCCACCGAAATGTGTGTTATCGCACTTCATTTTTTGTAAACTTCAAGTATTTTCTTTACAAACGTGCGTTCTGCTTCGCACTTTTTCCTGCAAAAATTTCGAGGAACGCGCTTTTTGGTTGTTTAACAATAAGTGAAATCAGCTTTGTGCTCACAAAAAAAGGCGAGAGTAAATAGAACTCTGATTTCATTTCTGTGCCACGTCCATTGAACGGCTGCTACAGTTCAGCAGTTCAATGTTACACAATTTATGTTCCCGAACTTTTTAGTATTTAAATGCACTCTGCCTGCAAATAACTGTCTCTTTGTGGAGGCGGACTATTTTCAGCAACTAATGAGAAAAAAAAACAAGTTTCAGTTTCACTTTTGCTACCAGGGTTGTTGAGATGCTTACTAAAGATAGTTTTTTGGACGCTAAATGAAACATTCTTCATAAAACGTATATCCGTGTTAATAAGTATATTTATAAGAGGACACAATTTACTCGTGAAACAGATACTTTGAACAGTCACCTTTTGGTGGTCAAGTTACGCCTGAAATTCTGCTATCAGCATTGTCATTGATGTAAGCCTCCTGGAAAGTTTACAATAGCCATATAAAAAGGAAAATGTGTTACTTCCAGACAAAGAGTTAATTAGAGCTCTGCAAGCCCATAATTCACAACGGGCTCTTTACCTTCGAAGATGATGAAACAGGTTAGGAAAAACTTTAATATTTGGCTCTAAATGCTAAAGCAGCTGCCCAAGATGAGCTGTGACATACCGCTCAGCTAACACAACAACCATCTGACATTTACCACTGGCATAAAACGGCATGTATGTCTAAGAATACAAATTGTGAATTATAAACTATTTAGAGAATGCACTCCAGCAATTGAGGGCTTCTTTCTTTACTCCACACAGTGATCCTGGCAGTCAATCACTCCGAAAATCTTTTACTTGATTCGATATCATACTTCCACACTGTGATGATACAGATACTAAAAACATAACTTAGTAACTGGATACGAAAGATTGCAACAGATGTGTGAACCGTTGACAGGATATGCTCGAAGCAAAATTAAATCGTTGAAATTTAAAAAATAAAGCGTTTGATGAATTTTGTAGCACAACGAGTAAGCATATACAAGTATTTCAGATTTACTTCTATAAACAATTTAGATATTGCGAAGGGGCAAAACCAAAAAGGAAATTGCCTGATCGCTGAAACGAACCAATGTTCCTGCTGGGCTCTTCTTAACTTGGTCAACGATTATCATATGTTCAAGTATGTAGATTACGCTGTTGGCTGCATTCCAGCCAAATGCATTTTGGCATAGTTTTCCTGCAATTTGCCCCTAATGATATGCAAACAAGCAGCTGCAGCAGCAATGGCAACACAACGGCGGGAGTGGCAGCCACGTTGCCACAAGGCGCATCCAAATGAACGAAACATAGCAAGTCGAAATATGAATACGGAAATATTCGTAAGAATGTGAACGGTTCGACGTGACGCTTGCTAAGTTGCAGCAAAATGCCAGATAACAAGGGGGTGAAGGTGCATGCGAAACTTTTACAGTTTCTTCGAAATTTCCGTAAAAAAGTTTCGATTGCTGCTAGTGAATTGGATAAATAAGAATTTGGATAAGTTGCAAGAAGTCGTAAGGAGCTCCATGGGTTTTACTTATGAGTGCTGCAGTGGCATACGCATGCAAGCGCATGTGTGGGTACCTTGTAATAATCTGAAAAAACTACAGTGTTCATATGTATTAGTGTATGTATGTATATGCGAATAGTACACATTTCAGCCACTCAACTGTACAATGTAGCATATGCGCTTTTGTCAGCATTCATTTAGCATTTGCTTGTCGTTAGTGCGCTTAGGGATGCGCCGTGGCGTATGAGTGATGCTCACTTTGAGTCTCAAAACTGGCTAACAGTGTTCATTTGTGTTTATATATGTGTGTAAAACTCAATACGCTGATGGAGGAAATTGATTAAACGTGCTTTGATTGATTTCAAATTGCATTTACAAATTTACCAGCCGCATTTTTTTTCTTTTTTGAGGCTTTTATAAGACGTTAATGTGCAGTGACAGATTTTATGGCTAATAAAGAAACATAGCAGCTCATTTGATGTACAATTAATGTGACAAATACCAAATTCGTCTTAAATCCTATACCATATATCGCTAAATCAGATAAAACTTGCGGCTTGAAGTTTATTACATTTTCGCTTTGTTTTATTGCGCTTGCGCCAAATAAGTGAGCAACTATACTAAGACACTGTGAGGAAGCTCTGTAGGAGTTTGTGGTTTATGCTCGGCTATAGTTTAAAACAAACTTCTTCACCGCGTTGACAATCCATTTAAAAAAGAAGAAGAATAAAATTAACTTTTGATAAATAGTAAGATTTTTAAGAATACTAAAATGATGTACAAGGAGTAGCAAATAGTATTTTCATAACAAATTTGCATAAACTTATTTTCTAGTGACTACTTTTAGCACTTATTGTTCTATTTCTAACTTTTTCAGCAATATGGTAAGATTCTACAATTAGTTAGCATTGAAAGTGAACACAATGAAATGGTAATAATAATTTAAAAACGAGGTCCTTTACCACTTTCTATTGTCCCTCTTTCCCCCTTACTTTTTCTTTATTCCTATTAACGCCATACGAGTTGTTGTATATATCTTACTGAAACAGAAGAGAGTATGAACAATAACAAAAATGTTGAGAGTCACAGTAATCAATAGAGCAGAGTGAGTATAAAAATCAGTTCTTTAGTCTTTGCAAATTTTTATACCCTGAACAGGCTATATTAAGTTAAAGTCAGTGACGATCAGGCGGAAACGTCAGAGACCTTATAAATTATATATAGATATATATTAGCAAGACGAGCTCAGTCGATTTAATCATGTTTGTCTGTTCTTCTGCATATACTGGAACTAGTCCTTCAGTTTATGAGATATCGATTCGAAATTTTACACACCTATTCTCTCATTAAGCTGCTCATTTGGCAAAATATCTCCACAATAGCATATAGTTGCCATACAAACAGACTGATCATAATCAAGTTCTTGTATGCAAAACTTTTTAGTTGAGAAGATATCTTCACGGAATTTTACGTAAATTACGATACTCGCCAGCGTGGTAATACCCGAACATATTGTTCAGATCGGTCCACTATAGCATATACGTGTCATACAAACTGAGCGTTCAATATCAAAAAAATCTTTTAATACACTTTTATGCTATAATAAATGCACCTGTGCGGAATATTATAGCTTCGTTGTAGCCGAAGTTTGCGTTCTTCTTGTTTTCTTTGAACTCTTCAACTATTTAATATAATCCGTTATATTTAAGGTGATATTTTCCAATTTTTTATTTATTCATTATTAATTTTATAAAATTTTATTAATTGTTTTCTCCTTTACCTATTTGAAAATCAATTTTATTTGAGCACACACAGCTCTTTAAAATAGTTTGATTTATGTAAATCAACTTGATGTACGCCAAGGGTCGCACGAAATGCGTGAGAAATTCGAAAGCTTTGACGTTGTAAACGTTTTTCTAATTTATACATGAAAACTCTATGGAAAATAAATCCTTTTGTAATTGAGTCACGTAAATTAAATGTTCAACATTCTTGTAGATCTGAAGTGTTGGAAGCGTTCGTGTTGGCATCGCACACCAACCCACACACACAAATAAAAATATATAAAAATTCAGTTTCTCTTTTTTTTGCACTTTCACTACAAATTCGCCCCACACAAATGTCACAAATACTCAACACACTCATAGCTATACACACACATGTCTATATATACAAGGCAAGATGGCATCAATGCCGCTGATGGATGAGAGCACGCGCCAAGCAAAAATGGGGATAAGCAAATTAGCCTAGTGTATAAAACGATTTAAAATAACCCGCTGAGCGCCTTTCGCCATTAACTACGTGTCCGCTAGGACGCTGGGAGCGGAAAAGTTTCCTGCGTTTGTGCTATAATAAATACCGTTATAGTTTGGATGCGAGTTACTTGTAAATCCAGTAGTATTGGCAGATTAAAATTAGTGTGTTGCAAAATAAACAAAGTCTTTCAAAAATTTTATGTAGAATTAAATTGTTTTTTATAGGGACTGGTGAAGGTGTGAAGATACTTAGAAATCTTTAAATAATATCTATATATAATAATAAGGAAGGTTTGTATCTGTGAAAGCTGCTATCAGACTCAGCTCTAGATATTGGCATTTTGAAATTCTCAATTTTCGACCTCATGGGTTGCTTGCACCACGAGGTCGCCCAAATAGGCCCTTCATAGCTTGTTCGCTGTCCTTGTACTTGCGAGTGAGGGATGATTAGGACGTAATTTTAAAGAGGAAGACAGTAAGTTTCTACTTGGACGGTTCGGCGTTCAAAGCAGTTAAGGGGAGAATGTTCTATCCCTAGGCTCATATTTTCATTACGACACTTGAAAACTTAAAATGTTGGTTTGTTGAATTTAGCCGCTATAGCCTATTTCAGCTGGGCTCGAGATGTTCCGTTGATATTTATTATTTCTTTTTTATTATAAGTAAGCAGAGCATCACTGAATTTGTCTATATATGATCTCACAAAAAAGAGTCTCTCTAAAATGCATATTATTTGCATATACAAATTATTATTGCTACAAGACTGAAATCGACATCTTTCATACTACAATAGTAAGACTCCCCTTCACTTTATAGGGAGTGAACAAAAGAATACCTTCACAAAGGAATTGTTGTTACTTATTTTAGAAACTACTAAACAGCTGATGTCCCAACTAACTGTACAAAGTGCATTAAGCCACCAACACAATGCAAATAGCTACAAAATGGTCAACATAAAACTTTCCGCTTCGTAATCAGCGAGCAGAAACTCATAGAGATTACTCGAATAGAGCGTCATATAGGCAGTCAAAAAGTCGTGAAAGAGTTGTTATGATAACAAAGGAGCTGACAAACTTTACGCAATAAGTAGTCAGCGCAAGCAGCGACCACAACGACAACAACATGAAAATTTAAGCACCGATTTGGCTTTCGCAGATTCTGCTGCGATCGTAACTGTAAGGGACATTTAATATTACAGTTTTTGACGGGATAATAATAGAAGCTGTCAAGGCAACTATGTGACGTGGTGAATAATAAAGATGGTGTATTAAACCAAAGCTTAGTGACATTCGCGAGCAAACGCTGGCAGGGATAAAAAAGGACGTGCTACCTCGCTGAAATAATTAAAAGTTAAAAATATATAAATAATTATTAAGGTCGAGCGCACCAGTTTTAATAAGGCTAAAAGCCTTGCTGCAATATAAATTAGCGCAACTATACCGTAAGCGCGAAAGCATTTTTTTACTTTTATCTATCTCAGGACTTAAGCCAATATTTTGTTACTTATGTTGAGAAAAGTAAGGAGGGGAAAAATTCGAGTAAAACTGAAACTTGACAAACCAATCCAATGTGGGGTGCGAAGAATACTGAATATTTGGAGAACTTTGACTAACTACAAGGAAAGCACAATGTTTTAAGGATGGTTAGCGATGTTGCAGTTTAACCCAAATACTCTACCCTGCTCAGGTCTACTCACATTTCTTAGGAGTGTATTGGCCGGCATAACTAGTTTTTTTTTAAAACCTTTAAGCCATATCAAATCACTCTTATAAGACTAACTATAAAAGATTTGTACTTTCTGTCGTCATTAGTAATACACCTTCAACAATTTGGATTTTCATCGCTCTCGTGTTGTTGTTTTGAATCAAAGTAAAAGCTATGTATAATGCATTGCCTTTGGGTTTAAAAACGCGCTAGATTAAAAATGCTGTGTTAGTAAAAAATTAATGCAATGTCATTCGCTTTATTATGTCGTGAAGTCGTGTCTTACAATGCCATGTCAAACCACAGCAAACTATGCCACACAGTTTTTAATTCCCACACACACACCCAAGCCCAAAGAATGTGACGTGGTGCCATTATCCCGGTAGCAGTAGTTTACATACTTAACCCATGTATATACATAAATACTAAAATGACTGAAATACCTAGACATTTCTCAGGTCGGCATAATATCTATGTAATTATAATGCCGTGCATTTCTTGCAACATTGCTTGATGTAGAATGAGCCATCAAATCAACATATGTATATACATACATGTATGTATATACGTATATGTACATATATGCATCTGCATAAGTAAGGACCGCAACAAACCGGAATATGAACCTCCAAACCTTGTAGGATGCCACTCACTTATCGCAGCACAACACATAAGAATTAATAGTGACACAGCAATTTCACAATTGCCGCTGTGCTGCTGCGAGTGCCACACAACCACACATTTATATAGCATCCATATTCTGCAAGTTGTCATTTTCCGAGGGAATTACAAAACAATGAGACACGGGGAAAGAGTTTCATATACCGTTATGCACATAAATATATTACTCTCCTGAATCCACTGTGGAGCATTCACGAAATGTGAAATTGCATGCGTGAAGAAATCCGGATGAATGTCATTACTTTTTGATACTCACAATCATACTTATATGCACATATTATATATAAATATGATTTGATTACGTCACTCGGTTACATTGTACCCTGTTCTTGCGAAATTGCGTATTTACAGAGATGCCGAAATGCCGAATAAGTTGCACACCAGCAGATGTGCGGACTTGTATTTAGTCTGGAAACATTGCAAATGTGTAGGTAACCATATAGGGACGTAGGCAAGTAGCGACGTCCAAGTCCGCTAGGAACCGATCGCTAAATGTTCTCGGAAATTGCAAAAATGAAAAGAGTGGGAATTACATATATCGTCGAGACGAGGCCTGTAAAGGCAGTCTTGTGAAACTGGATTTGGCTAATTTTTGCATTAAGTTATTCCAACTATTATTTAAGATATCCCCCTTTAAGTCATACGAACAGAAGTCAAAGAACTGTTATATGAGCCTTACGGGAAGAAAATCGTACAGCTTTCGTAGCAAATTACACTAGGTGATATAATTTTAAATTTAATAAGTCAACTCATGAACTGATCAATATAATAGATCGGAGTAGATAATTTTAGAAAACAAAAAAAATCATAGTTCGATGAAACCCATCTGAAACGAAAGATAAAATAACAAATATTAAGGGAAAAATAATTTACGGGCGATATGTGGTCAGGAAAAGGAAGGGGAGGGGCGTGGTAGAGGTCAAAAACGGTTTAGTTCGATTTCCTTTAAAACTACGGGGCCTGTAGAAATAAGTTATATGGCAATGTTATAGGTAATGAAAGTTGTATAACTTTCGTATAGTGACCGTTTTTCCCATAACGTCAAAATTTATGTCAAAAATTTACGAAACCCAGTTAATGGGTTTTTTATTTTTATCTTGTACAATTTTTTTTTCTTTCAACGAATTTGGTGTAAACTGACTTTCTTATGTTCCAAATACAGTGTATTTTTTTAATTTAAATTATTTATTTTTTCTCTATATATTGACCTATATATATTATATATATTGACTCTCAAGTCAAAATTTTTAATTTTTAAAAACGTTAATAGGCTTTATATTTACTAAAATCTCTACTTTCTGATGTTATAAAACATATATGCATTATATATTATAAAGATATACCACAAGACGATTTAAACCAGTTTTTTTACTGCTGCTACTACGAAATAGCATGTAGATGAAATAAAAAAGCAGCATCGTTTTTCAGCTGTTTAGCGGGTTCTTTCTCTTTTTTATCATTTCCAAAGGGTTCTGCACTAGGCTATCATATATTTACGTTTCCGATATAAAAAGTGGTATCAGATACAAAAAGTAAAGAGTGGTTAACTTTCTTCAAAACTCACCTAGGTTTCAAGCCCGTCATTTCCGCGATTGTTGGATTTTCCGTTATAACAGACCCATCATCGTCGATTAGCACGTGCGAATAGTCGGTCTTGTCTAAGCCCATCAGCAGCCGGAATAAATCATCAAAGGGATCATGAGGTTCCCGTTCCAACTTCTGGATCGCCAACATATCCTCTCTCGCTGCTGCATCCTGCTGTACCCCGCCCGTACCGGCACCCGCCGCCGCTGCAACATCGGCCGAACTGCCACCTGCTGCAGTGCCTGCAGGGCGTGATTGTGTGGTTGTCGGCGTGGCAGTCTCCTTTGAACCTGATGAATTGCTGTAAATAAAAATAATTGCATAACAAAATGAAACATTTTGATAAGAGATAAACACTAGTAAAACCATGCTAACAACGGCATGCACGGCTAAGTGATGTAGGACATGGACAACGGGACGTTGACGGTGACGGTGACGCCGTCAACATAGGCAGGAGATTATGCAAAATTTGTAATTACTGAAAATCTCAAGTTGTTGCGTCACTGCTGCTTGTTTCGAAATTAGTTTAGTTTCAATAAAAGTTTGTGGAAAATAATTATGGCTTCGTAAAAGCGAAGCGAGTATGCACGAGATATGCATGTGCGCTATTTATGGTGAAGATAGAAGTGCAACCGGCATTGATGAGTTGAGTTGGGTTGATGAGTGAGTGAATAAAACTAGTTGCCATCAAGCGCTCTCATCAGAGTTTCGGCAAGTAGTCGTCGAGGAGTGTTTTCAATTGGTTGCATGTGCGGTTTGTGTGGATGTGTGTTATTGTATTCACTCCTTTGCATTTATTGCTACTGTCGGCGCTGCAGCCAAATGCGAAAAGTTTATACGGCGCTTCCACTTCTAAAACAACTCGCAATAAAAGCACTTTAAATGTTTTTGCAATTAATTTCCACATTCGAAAATAAGTGTTTGGAATTGCATTGGAGTTAGTTTGTTGGAAAAATAATAATAATAAAACGAGATATGACGGGGGTAAACACAATTAACTACTTGAAATTTTGAATAAGGAGTCCTTAGCACAGTTTAAATTAGAACGGAAAGTTTTAAATTAATTGATAAACTAATGTGGAACGATAGCAATATGCACTTGCATCTAGGTGACTTTATTTCAAACGGTTAGAACGCTAAATGATGAATAGTGCTTCACAAGTCCAACACATTAAGATATTAATAGATGAAACCCAAACTGAATTCAAGCAATATAAGTTCCTAATGTAATGTTCTTATCTAGAATATAATGCATTCGTAAAGCTACTCTCACAATGAACCTGTCAGGGTCGTCGGATACTCTAAACTTAGCTGACCATTCGTCCCAGTTTGTCCGGGACAGTCCGGATTCCGAATTAAGCTTCCCGGCCGTCCCGGGCTTAGAAATTAAAAACAAAGTAAGAATTAAATAAAATTGTTTTACTCTCTCACCTATTATATGTCAGTGAAATATAATATAAAAAAAATAAATGACAAAAAAAAAACCGAATTTTGTTGGGACAAATATGGTCACCTAACTCTAAACCAAACCTTTAAAACTCTCTAACCGTCAGAGAAAAAAACTTTTCTGTTCCGGATTAATGGTTTGGCTTGATCCACCATAAGACCATCACAATTGAATGAAACCAACGCTGCAACTCGTTCCAGCTTCTGAGATCCGCAATGCGATTTTTAGTACACAAAATGAGTTAGATTCTTCAGTGTTACTGCATAAATAATACTATCAAAAGTTTTAAGCTTTACGATTTATATTAAAAATGGAAAGGTCTCCTCTAATTTTTAAATATTTGTAATATTTTATAACACTTCTATACTTACTTGCGTTTCAGACCAAAACTATGCGTGAATACCTCGAAACACTGCGCAATAGACATTTGTAGGTTTGTCAATAGGTCCGTCAGTACGAGTACATTACAAAAATAAAAAATAAAAACTACGAAATGTGTTATTCTCTTCAAGACACAAATGTAACAAAAAACAAAGAAGCAAATAGTGATCTCGCTTTAACTTTTTCTCTTATCTTTAGCCACCAAAAGTTTTACCACCACCAACGGAATCAAGTTTTAAAGTTGACATTTGTCAGTTACCGCAGGAGTGGTGAGAGAGGAAAAGACGAAATTGATATGCGTGAAGTTTTGTCAACAAACAAAGATTGAAATGCACTAACCGCTTCATTCTTTCACTTGCTGCAGTGGTATTATTGTCATTGCCGTTGTTGCTGCTGGTAAATTATGCAATGTGGCATCTCTACAAACATTGTTCGTTTACTGTATGCATATTAGGAAAGATTCAGTAGTGAATTGCAATAGAACCGAAAAATTAACTTAATATGCTGGAATAAATGATACATTTCAATATTTATACAGGTTTGTATTATTATACTAGCATCTCAATATAGTAGAGCTGGCAACTCATGTAGAAAATTTCTTATGCAACGGAGGATATTTAGTGAGTTAAATATGCTCTTTGGAGAGAGCGCAAAAAGAGAGCTGTATGCTTAAAACTAGAATCTTTAAACCTCGCTGTTCCCAATCCTCCCAATTCTCATTAGAAACTACTGCTTAATAGTAAACATAAACAAAACTTGACATAACTACTGCAACTTTGATCCAACCTCGTTAGTTGGCAATCATTTAGATGAGGTGAGAGTTTGAGAAGTTTTTACTTCGATGTTACGTACCGACGGAATCAACTGCATACTTCTTCACATCGTTCAAATATATATATTTGTTTATATTTATATAAACAAAGTAATATATAAGAGCATATATACAAATAACTATGCATTCATATATGCAAATGAATTTACTCAAAAACTTTCGCACCTTCCTGCTGAGCAATGCGGAGCTCACCTATTTTGCATATTCTAAGCATTATTCGGAGTAAAGTGTCATCGCAAGTGAGTCGTTGGAAGTTCCGCACCAAAATGCTTAAAGTGTTGATGGTCCATTTCAACAGAAGTCGTTCTGATGGGTTCATACTGCAAAGTGATAATCAAAATTACCTTGCAATGTGTTGAAAAAAGATTACTTCCGCTCCTCCTTTAAAAATTACAAAATTGTTGCACAATTTTTGCCGAAGCAACATATAACCACTTAGTATGCTAATTCTGTAATTCAAAACAAATATTCTTTCGTTTATGAGGAACTTCCAAATATCGTTAAACTAAATATTTTCGCACTTTTTAGGCAAGGATGGATTTAAAGGCACAATTCGGGAACTATTATAGTATATATAACAATATGGAATCGATTATAGTTTGCTAGAAAACTGTACATGGTCGTGCACTCACGAAAATGTATGCCTGTTGAAGGGTTTATTCTTATTAGGCCGACGAACGGAATCTGTGAAAATTCAGTCTTTAAAAAGGTTGTTCTTCACCTCTGCTCTGTACACACAATCGATTCATTACAGTAAATTTTACAATACCATTTTAGGAAGATATCATGTGAGACAATTCTTTATAGGAATCGCTCTACTTTTAATTTCTACGAAATTTGTTTAAGATGAGCTTTCTAAACTATATGGAGATATAATATTTCATCGAGTTAATTGAATTATGTTGCTAAAGAAATTCTCATTGATAAATATCATCAATATATTTTATATATTTAATGAAATTGGTGAAGTTACCACAAAAGGCCCCTATTAGCCTCTTAAAATTTGTCACCTTTGAACTAACTTTTTTGTGATTCGCTAGAAGAAAGACAAACAAAGTTACATCCAAGGGAAAAGTATAACACAATACAATTTTTTCTCAGAAACGTGTACATACTTGTATGTTTGTACACTATTTGTCATAGAGTTTTTTGCCCTACGCAAAAACATATAAATATGTACATACATATACAGGTTGGTTGAAAAGTTTCTGCCCTCGAAATGAAAATGTACAGTTTTTGATACGAAATCTATTTTTTTATTCAATATAATCAACCTTAACTTCAATACACTTAGTACAATAATTTTATGCCGCCCCTATAATGACTTTCCGGAAGCTCTGCAAAATACACCTCTACGACTGTAATAGTTTTTTCATTGACGATAAACGCTTTCCACGAAGGAATTGTTTCAGGTTTCTGAAGAGATAGTAGTCGCTGGAAGCCAAATTTAGTGCATACGCTGGATGCTCAAGCAATTCGTACTTTAATTTTGCCATAGCTAAAACACATTTGTTAGTAAGTCTTGATGAAAAATTATTTTTTTTTTGTGCTGCAAACCAGGCCTTTTCTCACAAATTTTTTCATCCAGCTGATCCAAAAGACCGCAGAAAATCAATCAACAAAATTCCTTTTGCATCTCAAATTGGCATCCCTAAAACACGTAATATGTACCAACTTGAGAAGAAAATTTGGAGCTAGTAGTGCTATTTCTTGGTAAGAGCAGAACCTTTTCAACCAACATGTATGTACAAAACTAGAGTCAAGAAGTTCAGGGCGATTATCCCAAAATAAAAAAATTCAATAGCACACTTTTAAACTAGTTAGCCGCACAGGGCTAAAGGGGGAAGAAAAACTTTCCGATTTCATATTGTTTTCGAAATAAAAAAGCGAATTGAAAAGACGTCTGACACCTGCTGACTTGAAAACACAAGGTGAAGTTTGAAAGTTTTACAATTTAAAAAACAAAGTTAAAGCCACTTCCTTATGGATAAGCTGGGGAAGAATGGGCAGAAAACCGGAAAATGAGAAATGGGAATTTTATAGTTTCTGACAATTAAAACTATCTCCGAAGTTGTTCCAAATGGCAAAGAATTGTTTATTTACACGTATGAAATAAGTTTACCTTTTTAAGGAGTGAGCGAGTGAAATAAAATAAATAGCTGCCTAATAGCCTCAAGGAAGTTTGATATGCAAGAAGAATCTATGGAAAATTTCATCGTCAAACTTTAGCTTTCATAGTCAACCATTGCCTGCAACCAGCATTGGCTTTGCCAAAGTAAACGAAACCAAGACATTTTAAGACAATAATTAACCACGGCCAAAACAACAGCAACAAACGATTTAAACTGCACTTTATTTCATTGCGCTCGAAGCCAATTTGAGCCAACTGCAAGGCTCGCATTACACAATGTAGCCATTAAGCAAATACGCCAGCGCTTCTTAAAGCCAGTACATAAATACACACACACACACACACAAACAAATATATGTATATATGAAAATGTGCATAGGAGTTATGAATTAATTAAATATTTTACAGTTTAAGTAGTGGTCTAAGGCAACAGCCCAACCATGCCAGCGTCTGTGTTGCAACAACCTCGTTACTTTACTTTGTCTTAACAGCGCTTTGAACGCACCTAAATCCGCATCCACCACATTAAAGGGATTGCAGAAAGGAGCTGCGGTGTGGCATATCACCAACCACCACCGATTGCTTGACATCATATTTAGCGCCAGCGCTCCTTCATGCCGCTCGCCGCCCATTTCACACTTTCGGTTTCAAAAGATGCCGTTAGTCAGTGCGCTGCTTTGTTGCAGCTGCAATAACTTTGCTGGTTGCCCGCCATGCAGCGCTTTCGTGTAACGGCATTAGTAGCTTTTAATGTTGCCGGTGATGTTGCTGTTGCCGGTGCCACAGCCACAGCTGCTTCTAGTGCCATGCAGCGATGCACATATATACATATCTATGCGCGCCCTGTACATACTCCTCTCTACAAACCTATACAATACTCCATTGTTTATTCGCTTACCCATGGCGTAATGTACGACTACGGCCGTCAATGGCTGTTGGTGTTGTGTTTGTGCAGCAGCTACACCGGCCGCTGCATTTCCTTACGTTTGCTGCTTCCGCAATTTACGCCATTTGGATGTTTTATTACTTGGCTTCCGCAACCGCATTAAAGGCACAGCATAAACCAGCCACCAGGCTGCCAGCCAGCACAGAGCATAACCGCAGGGCTGCAGCAGACAGCAGGGGAGGCAGCAGAGAGCGTGTGCCAAGCCAGCAAATGCTGTTAAGACGACAAGTAAGTAAGATGGCTTATAGCGTTTAATGCAAACAACGGCAATGGCAACTACTCATACAACTACAACACTTACAATAAGCACAATGCCAATAACAACCGCTCATACCATTATGAGTAGCGAAAATGTTGCTGGCACCGGCGCTCTGGCCCTCATCAAATCGCACATCCTGCATTCGTTGCCAGTCCATATAACCTATAAGTAATATGACGTTTGGCGCTACTTTGGCCTTGGCTGAGTTGATATGCTCGATACCACGTTCTAGCAATATTGTTGACTCCTCCTGTGCTTGCTTGTTTTCGATGTTTTGACGACGAAAGGTTGAGCTTTAAAGCTTTTGCCATGGCACCAGCTTATGGCGGTTTATTGCATTTTTTATGCTGCCTGTTGCGCCGGTTGATGGGTGCAATAATTTTCCATTTGTTGCCGTCAATATTATCGTGGCTGTTCGTGGAGTGTTGCTTTGTAGAGGTTACTTACAGCCATTTCAGGTAACATTATTGCTTTTAGAAGCTTACATATTAATGTACTAATAAAGTGTGCGTAACGGTAGATTGCACATAGCAAGATAAACATTATTGTTTCAATATTTTGTAAGTAATATAACGCTGGACTCAAAGAAGAAGCGAAGTATTGCAACTTTGTTTAATTTAATTATTAAAGGTGGCAACGATTTGGAATTGATGCCAGACTGATGGCATAAAACTGATTTCAGTGAGGGTAGTTTAGCAACGGTACGTTGGTTTACCGTAAATTAATTGTTAATGAATAATGTTCGAATACAAGAATAAAACCATACACTTCGGCTGCCTCAATACTATAATATATCCAGCCAACGGTGTGCATCCAGCGGAAAATCTTTTTCTAGTTCCTTCTAGGCACGTTGTTTGTAATAAACAATGCTCAAGTCGAATTAAGAATACTTAATAAAGCAACTATTTGTAGGTATTTTATAAAGGCCTCTATTTTTTTTTTTGTTGGCAGCTATATGCTATAGCGATTCGATCTGAGCAATTTCTTCAACCCAACGAGGGAGCAGCTTTTTGAGGAGAATAGGAAGTGTGCAAAATTTCATATCGATAAGAAACTAAGGTACTGGTTTGCGTACAGACAGCCGGATGGATAAATCAACTCAACTCGTCTAGCTGATAATTTGTATACTTATATATACTTTATAGAGTATACGACGTTTCCTTCGAGAAGAATGAAATTTTTAGATCAGATTTTTACATACGAAAGCTTAAAGGCTCATATGAATTCAAGCAATTCAGGTTTTAGCTACTCTGCCGTCCATTTAGGTAATCTTCAAGAGATAGGAGCCAAATATCACAAAACAAGATGAAATGTCAACGCTTTTATTGTCGCAAATCATCTATTAACGGCATTTGCGCCTACATTTGCAAGGCCCTCATCAATCAACTATATTTGACTTGGCAGCAGTGGACAACAGTGTTTTTCACATGGCTTGAATCTATCTCTCACTTAAAACGAAACACACATATACCCGCCCGTACGCCCACAAATTAACACATTCGGATCAAGCACTCACCTCTTTTGCAGGAATTTGCGTTTGAAGTCTCTGAAGGCACCAGTGCCACCAGTGTCGCCGCCATCATTTTCATTTACATAACGCACACGTGACTGGTGCTGCAATAAATGCCGATTCGTAACGCCGAAATCCATCTGCACATCGACCACCAATAGCAGCGTCAGCAGTATCAGGGTTGCACCCAGACTAATGGCGAGGCGGTCTTTAAGCTTCATGCTGCGTAGCAGACCCATTACGTCGAATGAGCGTCGCTTTGGAATGTTCTCGACGGGAATTGTGTGAGGTGTTGGCGTTGAACGCCTACTTGTATGCAACGTTTCGTTACTAAAGCTACTTTTGTTGCTACGGCATACGCCTAACTGCACGGCAACATGCTCGGCAAAGCCGCCTAAGCCGATGCTGTGGAAAAATGAAAGAAACCAAATTTGTATTGTTGCCGCTGTCCGTTGTCCTTCACCAGTTACACGGCCAACTGTTGTTACTATGGGTGACTTGATTGCGGTAGTTGTTTTAGAATTTTCTTGTTCGTTGGTGTTGTTGCGTCGGCGCACTAATACACGTCTCCGTTTGCCCGATTTGGTGTAACAATCTAGTGGAGTGGAAGATGACTCAGTTGCATGAAATGTTGCAACATCCGCACTTTGTTGACTTAGCTTATAATGATGTTGTCCAACGTTATCGTTGTTGGTCTTGCTATTAACGAATCTCGCTTGAAACAATGATGGACACTGTTGTTCTGTTGCTGAAGTGTATGTGTGCGCAGCGGGTATTAATTCAGTGCACTCGAGTACGGTTGGTTTAGTGGCACTACTGGCATCACGGTTGTTGTAATGCTGTTTGTTGTTGTGTCTATTGGAATCGCTTGCGTCACTGTAATGCTTGTAATAGTCTACTGGAGTTGATGATTCGCCTTCGATCGACCGACCGCCTACTTGTTGCTGTTGTTGTTGCTGTTGCTTATGTCGAAATTTGTTTAAGCGCTCCGCTAGCGTTGCCTGTGTGGTTGACCAGTCTGCGCTGGTTGTTGTTGTTCTCGCTGCTCCTAGTGTCGATGTGAACCCGTATTTCGTGAGATTGTTGTTGGTGTTGTAGGCTCTTAAGTTTGAGCTTGACGAGGGTGCAGTGCTGAAATTAAATTTTGGGCATTTTGTCAGTAAATTTTGGAATATTTGTGAGAGATAAAAACAAAAAAGGAGAATGCATGCAAATTGGCGTGAATTTGGCCTAAGGGAAAGCTATTAAATATTATATAGACTTGTAGGTGTATGTACGAGTATGGTTGGGAGATTGCGGCGCGAGTTCGTGCAAATGAAACGAGGCGTCGGTTAACACAAGTTTTTTTATTTTACTACTTATAATATTTTGTATTGCGTGCATCAACATGATATTTTGTAATAGCGGTACTTCCAATTCATGATTTGTTTTCTGTTATCGACTTTTCTTTTTTCTAAAACTTAATAGCCGTCTAGGTTTATAATTAAACTTCGTATAATTTCGACCTCATGTTAATAAAAAGAGTGTGCTCCAAAATTTTCATCAAACTCAGACATCTTTATTTCTACTCCCAACCTAATTTTTTATTCGCTTTTTTTCTATAAAATTTTGTTTCATTTCAAGTTCACAAATTTTGAAAAATTGAAGGAAATATGTTTAAAAATTCACTTAAGCCCTAAAGCCAACCGTCAAAACCTAAAGCGATGAAAATTGAGAGTGTCTGCAGAAAATAATTGAAATGCTCGCCATTTGCTTTTCAGCTATTAGCAGCTTAGCAACACTGTAGCATTAAAGTTTGTAGTTTAATAATTTCGAAATAACTCACAAACTTTCATTAAATACGCACACCTGCGAAACACTCGAAGCGATTTATAAACTTCAACCATTTCTAAACACTTCAGCCAGAAAACCCGATTCGTATGGCAACGTTGTGGCATGAACGAACCCACAAGCTGGTCACATGACATTCACTTTACTGTTCATTTGAACTTCCTGTCGACCGGCTTGCCTCATTAGCAACGGAATGGCTGCCGTTCGTCGCGTCAAAAGTGTAATGTGTCATTTGCTGTTGATTATGTAATCGCATGTGAGTGCACACTTACAAATGCACATTGTGATTACCGAGCTGCCTGCAGTAAGTTTTTGTGAGCGCCAATGAAATGGGAGAAATAATAACAAGCAGCTGTGCTGATTATCTGAAACCGAGAGTGTGTAGGAGTAATTGGAATTGGAAAGACTAAACATATTCACATTTCAAACATATTTTGAGACGCTAAATGTGTGCACTAATTCCAGCACAGCTCAAGAGAAACAACAGAAGGTCTTTTGTGAATTCCGTATATAACTTATGAAACTCTATTAGATGGAACGATGTCCTGGAAATGCACATAAAAATGTATCAGAATGAACAGTCAAATTCGAAGCAATCAGATACACGCGTGTTCATTGGCAATAATTGTAGGTTCGTCAGGTTTTCGGGTTATAGTCACACCACTAAAGAGGGTATGATACAAATATTAGTTAAACAAAAATAAAAAACATATTTTTTTAGAAATTCAATTTAATTTTTTTAACGTGGTTGTTCCACAAGGCGATACACCGATTAAAGCGATCTACCGATTGTCTTTGATCCGAAAAAACCCTCAATAACGGTGATTTCTTTCGAATGATCATCCGCTTGAGGCCTGAGAGCAGGTCGCAGAAGTGTTGTTTTGGATTGCAAATTTTCTTGTAATTGTGAGAATATTTTTGAATTTTTAAACAACTCGATCAAATATATTTATTTATGCTATATGCATTTATAGGAAAAGCTATATATATTTCTCCATATAACGGTATTTTTCACAACTTGTATTACTTTAAGACTTAAGTAAGACTCTAAGTAAGCTAGGCAATCCTCACAAAATGCCACTGCATTTATTTCTTTAAATTAGTTTGAGTATTTCAGAAATTTAATTTCGTTTGTTGTAAATATAGAAATTCTGCTTGCTAGCAAATGCCCTTAAAAATTGTATATACACACTTTCTAAGTTGTTGAAATAATTGACTTTAATTTGAGAGTAATACTAAATTCCTGCTATTTATGTAACACAGCACAAAATACCAGCTAATATTAAATACCGTAAAAGTGTGTCTACGATTGTGGCGTGCTAGAACTGCAGTTTATTAGCTTAATTCTACCCCTCATTCTTGTATATACATATGTATGGGCTGCAGAGCCGATTAAATTTTCTTTTATTTAAATATTCTGTAAAGCCCACATCCCCCTGGCCAACTTATGGTTCGCACAACATTGAACGTGAAAAATATCTCCGACAATTATTTTAAAAAAAGTAGTAGAGAAAAATTGCATTCCACAAAAATTAGCGTCCAGCAGATTTACCTTTGATGTGCCAGCTCAGCAGCAGCGCAGTAATTACGACTGCCGTCGCCGACCCACTGCTGACGTGGCGTCGTAATGCTCATAATTTCTTTTTGCCGTTGCCGCTGACACCGCAATTCGTCAGGCGCAGCACTGTTGTTGTTGCCTTGTATCATTTCGCCTGCCATTGACACCATCGCTTGTGGTTTAGCAGACGCGACTGCCGCTGTCATAACTTTTCCAAATTCGGTAGTAATTTTCCTGCTGATGTCCTGTTCAGATATCCACTGGGCATTTGCGGTATATGCGGCGCCCGTACCGAAGCGGTCTACGCTACGTCCACGCGCACGTTTCACAAGCGGAGTTTTGAAGAGCGCCGAAACATGGCTGGCCGTACTCGTACGACTTCCTTCTCCCGCTCCGCTTGACTGAAGTTGCAATTGTGGTGAGCTTTGCGGTGCAGCTGCTGTTGACGTCCTTACATTGGTGCTTTGCGGCAGGTCTTGTCTGGGATGCAGTGTGGCACACAGAGAAGAGGCTTCATAATTCTCATCGAAGCCACCTATTCGTAGTGTGCGAGAAATCTCATTGTTGCGTACATGATGGCTGTCTCCCACCACTGCAATGCAATTTACGGTTGGGTGCTGTGAGGCGCAGTTTTCCAACTCGCTTGCTGTCGCGCTGACATGTGGAGCGAACACCGTACTATTGCGGTTGGAAGAGCTGGGCGCTCGATTCCCAGCCATTGCGACTCGCTTCGTTTCAGTCAACTCAGCTGTGTGTAATTGCGCTTGCTGTTGCTGTTGCCAATTTCTGTGTGCACTCAAAGGAGCTGCTGACCATGCGTACGGTGATGGCGTATGTTGTCGGCCAGTGACTTGATTTCCTGTCTCATACAAGTATGCACCACTCCACCGCCCTTCCTCTTGTGCTGTAACATCTGCAGTGACATCGTCATCAACGGTCAGGTCAAAGACTGTGTTTGCCTTTGTGTCAGTTCCTACCGCTTTTGCGTCGTCCCTTTCAATGTCAGCATCGTCGAGACTAAGACAATCCCCAGTGGCATTGTTGCTGCCGAACTCGTAGTGCGCCTTGTAGTCGCTACTCTTTTGACTTGCATTGCTTTCAGTTGCCGCAGCATTGTTGTTGTTATAATAGTAGCTGTTGTTGTTATTGTAATGGCTGTTCATGTCTTCCACGCTTTGTTTCAATGGCGATTGATTGCTTGACACTGCCAATTGATTTGTGTCCACAACACTTTTACTCAATTGTCGCTTGGCCATTGTGGGATTTCCTCCCAGGCGCCATTCCCCTGACACGCTGCTGCTCCTCACACTCCAACGTCGTATGCGACTGTTACTGCGTCTCACCGGCGCATTGGCGTTGTTGTAATCAGTATTGGCAGCAGCAGTGCCACCAGCAATTTGTCCACTTCCTTGAGTCCACCTGTCCGTAACCTCGTCGAAACCTGACACTGGCGCGCTACTGTCAGGAACTTCATTCTTTTGAAAGTGCACAGCGTCATCATCATACGAAAAATTAACTGAATTCGAATCTCCGTTGTTTTTAGACGCCGCCTTGTTGTAGTTGTAGTAGCATTGCTCAGCTCCTTCTTCGCTCTGTCCACGTTGTAGCCTTGCTGTGCTCGTTGCTTTTTTGCTCGTTTGAAAAAGTTTTCGTAAATTTTCGTTACGCTTTGCTCTGGCATCGTCCAAACTATTTCCGCCATTTTGGTTAACCTAAATGTTTACGTTACATGATTTCTTTGTATTCATTCCGAATTGTAACAGTAAATTCGTTTGTGCTTGTCTGCATGTGTTAATATGTGGCAGAGAACTTGCATTTCGAACATTTGTTAGTTTGTTGGGAGCGAACTGGAAAACGTGGCTATCCAACCATAAAAATTCAACCAACAATAATGCGAACATTACAAGTTAATTTCGGTTAGTTCAACAAATAGAAATTTAACGAGCAACAAATTTCGCAAAAATGCGCTTGATCTGGCAAAGGCACCGCACAGAAGTGGAACCAATTACTAAATTAAAATGCTTTTTTCAGCGCATCAAAAGTATTCAGTTCGAATCACATGTCGCCCTACAAGAATGTGTTGTCCAAATGATGACTATGTGAAATTACAAAAACAAAAACAACAAAAAATTTAATTTGTTGAAGTTTCCCATTGTATTTTGACATGGCTTATTCCGTACCTGATTGTTATGAGCTTCGTAAAGGAAGATCCGTCCTTGCAGACAGTGCTAGATGAGTACTTAATTCAACTATATTTTTCTAACATTTTTCCTAAACAAAAAAAAAAACGTTAACTCTTGCTCAAGCGAAACCCTTCAAAAATGCATATCTTATATACTATATGATCTAGAGGTCCAAACTGAAAAACTTATTCGGAGATTATAGCATTGACTCGGCCGATAATCAATGCCAAATTTCGTGAAGCTATCTTTTCAAGCAATCTAGTTCATACAGCATGATAGCTATATGCAAATAAAAATCCCCAAAACTGAATATTAGTTCATTGATGCATTAACTAAAAACAACGTAAGGTTTCAATATTGACCACACAATAAGTTATAAAGCTTTCTTAGTCGTATAAGGTTTTCTATACGTATATACTATATGGATATGATTATTAGGGTATTCGTTATGTAGACGCCCTCTAAAGTTTCAGAAGGTTAAATACGTGCAAAAAGTAAAATGTTTTAAGTACGATTTAAATTGAAGTTCTTGTTTTCGTCGGCTATTTTTTTAGGTCAAAACCTCACACTTCAGGGAACGTCTGTAAAAAAACCTACTTGGGAAATAATGCCTATAAATACTGCAAATAATTTTTTCATAAACTTTGACAGCATTTGACCATAGAAGAATGTGGAGCAGTTCTTTACTCAACTATTCGACCACTTTCATTGCCTTTTAGACAGTCTCTCAAATCTAAAACAAATACGATTATATTTCTTTTGGAACATTTTGGAGAAATTAATTACTGGTGTCTCGAAAAAGGGAATTCGCACGATTTATGCTCGAATGTGTTATTTCACATACTAAGCATGATTTTAGTTTCTATAAGAGTTGGAATTCCCAATAATTAAAAATTATTTGCTTTTTTCGTTATAAACGCTTATTAATGTAATTAGTTAATGAAAATTATCGTTCAAACGAAAATGTGAGCAGATTTCGTATTGCATTCGGGATCACATTTTCAGCATTAATTAGTTGTTTGTATAACAGCATAATAAACATAAACTTGCATGCAGAAATTAATTAGCTCAGCAAAAAATTCCAATTTTGCAAGAAAAAACCATAAAAACACAAACAAATTTAAAAACAAAAGCAATAAAAGGCAAACAAACAAATAAATGCAAAATAAAACTCAACAGAAAAAAACGAAATTCATAAAAATGGAACGGGAGAAAATTGTGGTGTAAATCAAATGCTGGACATCAGATTGATTACATGCCGTGCTTGCTTGTTGCTTGGAACTGCAGTCCGCGTGGGGGCGGACCCTGGCGTTTTTTACAACCTGCCTTTCGGTACACAAATCCCAGAAAGGTCAGCAGCGCTAAGCTACAGCAGCTAAGACATGTGCACTACTTACATGGTAGCGCTGTGCGGCCATCCCAAAGAATGGTGATGGTATAGCACAGCAACAACTAGTAGAAATGGAAACGAATTTGTGAGTATGGGACCCGGCTTGAGGCGGACGGGCGAGCGGGCGAGCGGTCGGTGTAATACGTTTAGAGAGTGAGTGAGTATTGGAGAAACAAAGATGGAGCGCAGATTACTTCTGTGCGATAAAAAAGCACAAAGCAAACTGGATGTACATAAAGCGGAAATTGCTAGTTGCTGGAACGCAGAGAGACTTAGTACGCGCGCTTATTTTTATTACAATTATATGTGCTCTCTTTCGCTTGCGTTTAATGTTTAGTTGCTTATGGTCGTATTTTTTGCTTCCTTACTTTCGATTATTCTCATACTTTTCTTTTTGGGAGGAGATTTATGCGAAGCTGTATGAGTAAAAAGGGGAGAAAGGAAAGTAAAAATAAATTAAAATAACCCTTTCAGAGTTGCCTGAGACAAAAAAAGAAATAAACATTGCGAATAACGGAAAGTACAAATTGAAATTAAAGGAAAAAACTTGAAAGTGTACTTACGCTATGAAAAGAAGCTTGCACACACACACGCACACTTACACTATCACACTGTTATACAAATGTGGTAGTCCACAGAATGTTGTTGTACAATTTGCTCGATTAAAACGCAAGCGATTGAGGAAATGGATGTTTGCGTGTATAGCGGTGTATGCAGTGTATCTAAAATTCTATGGTAGTGGTTAGCGAAGGCAGCAAGCAGTTACAGACACGCATACAAATAAATATGTGAATAAATAGAGTTGGCTTTTTCGAAATTCTTTTTAAATAAAATAGCGCTTAATGGGGTTGCCTTTGTTGTGGCAAAATTTCTGAAACGGAAATGCATTTGCAAAGTGCCCTCACACATACACACACAAGCTCGAAGATAATTGTAGGAATGAATGTTTGCACTGTTGTGCACTTATATGTGAAAACATATGTGTTGGCAAAGAACACACTGTAGTAAACGTATTTTATTCATTTTGGAATGAAGAGCTTTAATTTAATTTTTTTTTTTGTTATTCGGAAACTTTTACTTTATAAGAAAGTATATGTTTTGTATAGAGGCAACACTTTTTCAACTTGTTAGTATATAATTATTGAAGTCAAATAGTTTGATTTTGTTCAAAGTAACCTGATAATGGGGTTTTTTTAGTTTCAGCGCTTACTTCTTTCTCTCTAATTTTTTTTCTCTGAAAACTTTTGTGAGCTAGAGTCAACACCTGCCCCTTCGAATGAATTTAATTGCATTGACCACAAAAATAAAAGAACCAGCTCATAATTATGTGGAAAATAAATTAAATGTACGAAACTCAAATAAAAATAATAAATTTATTTACCTAAATTAAATATATCATATATTACACGCATTGTAAATAACATGATTCTGTCATTTTCCTGCTGCCACCGAAGTGCTTACATGAATTCCAATGTAAATTGCGATCGATAAGTATTTAATTCTACAAATAATTGTTCTTATCAGAAAAATAAAAAAAAAAATCAAATTTTAATAAATGTAGGGAAACATAGAATTTTAAAAACAGATACACCAAACTAACCATTAACCACTTAGTTATATCAAAAAATCGGTCATTTCCGATGTCAATAAAAATTTAACAATTATTGCGAATATTATTTTTGTTTTGGAATATTTCCTGCCATTTTGGCGTTCATTTTTCAACCGCAAAATACTCGCCTGAAATTTTCGGTTGAATGAGCAATCCAAGGCTGCGCAATAATAAGCCGAAATTTCCCACAAAAACTCAAACAGCTGCACACACGATCAGGCAAGTGAAAAACTATTGCATACATTACGGCGCTTTAAGCTAGTGCCAACACAATGCAAAAATGCAACAAAATCGCTACACACTTAGCGAACACGCGCGTATCCATATATGTACGTGTGTGTGTGCTTGTTTCATTTGGGCATTTATGTGGAATAATGCAGTTAATTTTATTACTCCTATCGCAAAGCAAAAAAAAAGCAAATATTTATGTACTATTTATGTACACATGTATTTTGAATTGTAGTAGTGCAGTACTTTCACAGATAAACCGCAAACTAAATACAAACATCGTGAGTATAACGTGTTTATATGTCCTCAGGCAGAAACTAATTCAGATTGGTTGAAAATCGGATATTTTGGAATATTTCGCTTAGTAAAGGGTGTGATTTTTAGAAGTATAGAACTAAAAACTTTATTAGTTCGTATAATTTTAGAATTATCATTAAATCGGATTTGTTGTCAATTAAAACCAACCTTTCGGTCTAATTTTGCACCATTTTTTTCATAATAGCGTTTGTTGAATTGACTTACCATACACCTAAACAGTAGTCTAACAGAACCAAATTACAATACCGAGCTGGGTAGATTCCAAGTACAGACATTTTTCAAATATAAGCCAGAATTTGATTTGACGGTCAAAATATAAATATATCATATTCACTGAATTCTGTTTTCATACGGTTTTGATTTAAGACGGTTTGAAAATATAACAATTTTTCATTTTTTACACGATTTCATTCCATTTAGCATGACCCACAATTTTTTGGGCTTAATATTTATTTGTCACTTTTAATTTCTTCGAAATATGTTCATATCAAAAATTTAGTGTGTGCGTTGAAACAATTTACTGGTCAGAGCAATTGTAAATAGCACCAATTTAAGGCAATGATCAATGTGTATTGAACCGAGTTACTCAGTTCATTGGCACACTAAAACGATTAGAGAGCCTAATATTTACAATTTGTAAAAGATGCTCGGAAAAAAGCTCTTTGCAATTATCTACTGTTAGAAGTTTATGGAATTATGAAGAGAAATTTACCTTTGCTACGAAAAAAATTTAATTATTTTCTATAAAATTTTCTTATAGAAATTGTTATATTTATACCCTAAACAGAGTATATTAAATTTGCCACCCAGAACGAAACGTAAGATTTGATTTAGCCATGTCCGTCTCTATATACGCGAACTCGTCTCTCAGTTTTTGAGATATCGATCTTAAATTTAGGATATGACTGTTTCTCACCAAAAAGTTGCTCGTTTGTCGGAACGGCTGATATTGGATCACTATAGCATATAGCTGCCATACAAACTGAACGATCGGAATCAAGTGCTTGCATTGAAGACTTTTTCATTTGACGAGATAGCTTCACGAAATTTGGAACGGATCATTATCTAAGGAAATAATAAAATATTTGAAGAACTTGTTTGGATCCGATCACTATAGCATATAGCTGTCATGCAAACTGAACGATTGGTATCAAGTTCTTCTACGGAACCTTTTTTATTTGTGAATCGTATTATAGCTAGTTTTTAAATGTTTTGCCTAAAAAAAGTTGTGTTGAGGCGAGATTGTTCTTTTCTGTTATACATTTAAAGAAATATTGTATTTTTTACTAACGCTATTTTAAATGTATTAAAATTGTTATATATTTGTATTCGAAATGTTTTGCATTAAAGCGGAGTTCAACTGATTCACACACAACAAAAGCAGTTTTTCATATTCAATGCTCATAAAAGTAATTAATATTGCATGCTTCCTTCGAGCCCATTTTCCACTTACCTCGAGCAATTACGATGGGGAATCTATCGCCAATGTGTTTGTCTTTTATATGAAATCTGAAAAAAAGGAAATTACAATTATACCATATATGAAATGTTGTATGCATTTTAAATGAGTGTCATTCTAATAAAATCAAAAATTAAATTTGCATTAAAAGAGGCCCTTGCTCTCAAATTACATAAATACTGCATATGTGTCTGTATAAGGAATATGTAGCTCGTTTATTATACTTATACAATGCTTTGGCATAGTTTCTGATTATATGCTGCGTTTCTGCCAATGACAATCCTTTATTGTGGGATGTTCCTAACTACATACTAGAATTTTATTTTAGCAGGTGCTTAGAATCGGAATTATTTATTCATTATAACTTTTCAATCATTGTAAATTATAATCTCGCTTTCTTGTCCAACTTTAAGCATTAGAAGATTTTTTAGTGAACAAACTTTCAAAAACTCTATACTTTGGAAAACAAAACATATTTTATAACCGTATATATTTTTGCATTTATAAACCATAAATATCAGTTGACGTTACATGATACTCGAAACAAACTCATTTGTGGCATCAAAAATTTCATTAGCATTAAAATTGGACACAATTTCCCACATAACTTTTATGAATGCAACAAACCCATTTATTCTCCCCCGACGGTATTATCGTTAACGGTACATCGCAAAATGCAATTACGCTGCGTCGGCACGCATTGCCAATTAAAAGTGAAAAGGGCACCAAACAGGAGGTTAACGTGGAAACCACCTGCTTTTCGGACAGAATAAAAATACATACATATATCTGCTAATGGAAGCACTCGTACACACAAATATGGCGTGAAATAATGGATATTGCGCATCGCCATCCTGAAGCCAGTTAAGGGGCGATATGACGATACAAAACGAAAACTGTTATGTTTATAATGCAAAGACGCTGTCACAGGCGTCACGACTATACATACAGTTTTGTATACGCAATAAATTTTTTTAACATTGTAATCCGTTTGCAGTCATGCGCTCCTGCGCCTCACTTTTCAACCAACCAACCCTTTTAGCATTATATTAAAAATAAATTAACACTGTGTCCCTTCTATGTTTAAGACCGAACATCTTCCTCTCTTTATTGTGCGCTTTAATAGGGACTCAATCGTCTTGCTATTATTATGGGTCACCATCATCATATTTTGGTGCTACAAGGCTTGACATCTCAGTCACTTACGATTTTTCTCCAATTTTTCATGCTTTTTATATCTTCTTCCAATTCGTCGGATCATCTTGGTTTGCCCTTGGCTTAGTGTTAAATGCTTTGGCTTCAATCAATTTCTTTTGTGCTCTCTTAGTGTCCATTTTTAAACGTATAATGTTTTTACCTTTCATAAGTTGGCTTTTGTGATGCTTTCATAACAATTAATTAGCGCCGAAGCAGTTGTCAGGCCTATTTCGTCGAGACCAAGCTCCAGCCACGTCGCAGCTTGTTATACATCAAGCTGTCAGGTTGCCATTTCCTCTAAGAGGTCAGCTTTTGGGTCATAACGCCCATATTCGGTCATAAATGAATGAAATCAGTGTGGCATTAGCACCACCACATAATTATTATTTGTAGTTTTACTCATATAAAAATGTTAGAACAGTTTTTCTATAATTTCTAAGAACGAGTTCTTTTTATCAGCTTCGC